ATATGAAGAACCAATACAGAGGAACTGTACGTAATTATGAACTTCAGCTTTCAGGAGTGCAAATCACATGCACATTCTGATTAATGGCTCCAAAGATAATAGAATTGATGCCGGCCAGAAGGCATAAAAGAATCAAACTAAATATTTGAGGAATGACTTGCACGCTTAAAAATAGCCAGCCAGCAAAGGGAATGGAAGGGCCTTCCAAGCCAAGGAGAGGGAAGAAGAAAAGGGATAGATCGATACACATTGCCTCAGTCATCTGGGCATCCAGCCCACAGTAATTCAGGTGCTGTCAAAGCATAATTGAAGAATGACGCACTGGGAGTATATACACTGAGCCAGGAGATCAGGTTACTGCAGGTCTGTGGAGGCCTTTCAGCACCGAAGAATACGCGGGACTTTGTTTTGTGCCAAAACCAATACAACCTCCAGAGGAAAGCATACTTTCACTAATGACTCTTTTACAAGTTACACAGTAGCGCTAATGAGTTACTCCTACAGATGATCCCCTTCAGAGAGATACAGAAAGAGGTTACAAAGATACTAACAGTACTGCGAGGAGATGTCTTTGTGTGCGTGGGTGGGTGTGAGCAAATGGCTTTCTCAAGTGCACGGATTTGGATCAGATGAGTGGCTAATGTGTTTTATGAATAAAATGAATCCTACAGAAGTCAAAGGTGTTGTTACCACCTTCTGTTTCCCTCAGAGTGGCATCATCAGAGAAATGTTTACCCACTAATCTAAATGCCGAAGTAGGTGCAAGTGAGCAAAAGCTAGAAATTGTAGTTCTGTGTTTGTTGTATCTTAGAATATTGCAATCTTACAACAAATATCACAAGGAAAATGTTTCTCAAGGTGTGTGAAAGCACACTTCATTATCCTTTAATCTGACCTTTAATGAAACCTTCATCTTTTTGTCAGTTTGTGCTTGAAAATCAAATGTGTTGTGTCACCTTTGGCCTCTTTACCCTTTGTGTTGCGTGATGCGTAAATGCCATTTACTCCCTAATTTGAATTTTGAGCAAGTAAATGAGAAATTAGGGGGGTAAAGCTAGACATTGTAGTTTTGTGTTTGTTGCATCATGAGACACAGCAGTGGAATCAAAGGTGTTGATGTTACATTTTGTGCAAACTGAATCCATTATACAGCCTCACCAGGAATCATGTGTTGGGTTTGATGATTCACATCATTTTACACACTGATGTGAATCTTGCAGCACTTCTGTGTTTGTTTGCATTCCTTGCAGAGAAACTCAGGCCTACAGCAAACTGTCTGTGGTAATGACCAACTTGCATCTTTGGTCACTGAACATTTGGGTCAGCAGCACGCTTACAGCAGACAGGGACAGTGCTGTACCAAAAAAAACAAGACTGGACCACCACTGTAGTAAATCTTCGTCCATGTAAAATTTATGAAACCCAACCCAAGTACAGTGGCCAGTCAGTCAGCTGACATTATTGATCAAATGAAGGATCTATATAAGATACTATAAATCACATAAAATTGAGGATTGATAGGCATTTTTCACATTAGTAGGCTATCTGTATTTTTTTTTAAAGTCTGGGATGTGTATTCTTCTGTGGGCTCTCTGCCCAGGACTCATCACTCAGGGAAATGATGATCTGTGACAGCAATTATGTTAAAAAGGTGGACACATGTAAAGGTGCTGCAAACTGAAATCAATACACAAGGGCTTTCATTACAAACAGACAACTAATCAATACTCAGGGAGCACTCCAGCTTACAGGAGTAAGTTTTACTCAACTTCCTGTGAGTCTCGACAGCCAGTGGTCTGTTGCATTATTCAAAGACTACTGGTTAGTAAGGGCAAGGGTAAATAATTGATCATTTTCTGGGTTGAATATAGGCTACACTGTGGCCATGAGCAGGCCCTTTCACTGTTACGCCACCTTCCTTGTGTTTACAGTCTAAATCCTGCTTGCAACAGTAGGTGGAGCGAATGTTAAATGAGCCAACAGCCACTAACATGGCACCGTTAAGGAAATAGTAACTGAGTCCTCATGTGCTTATTCAAATGTGGAGTCGCGTAAACAGTTATTGTTGGCTTCCGAGCGTGTTGATATGCTATTTAAAAATGAAGGAAATTAAAAAAAAATTTAAATTCAACTTCAGTTTGTTGCTGACGGAGGAAATTGTGCACGGTGACGCACCAAACACGTCAGCTATTTTTTTCCTCTTTTTTTCCAACTTGAAGACAAAACTTCAACCAAACTTTCCCAACTGTAACTGGAGTTAACCAAAGCTTCAAATTAAACATGAACTATTTTATCCTGTGTACATTTACGTCTCAAGGTTGCTTTACCCCCCCTACCACCACCCCCTTCTCCAGCTCCGACTTACCCGCCCGGTGCTGACTCCTCTTCACTCTCATCCACTCAAAAGTTTGACTGTTTACGTCCATATCAGCTACGCTGCAGTCCGAGCTGGCTGAACTCCCCACGGCGACGTGAATCTCGGGGCCATTGTGGGAGTAGATTTGAATTTGTTCTGTAAGTGACCCAAAACGGGACTGTGGCGTCTCGTCGTTATTTGACGCAGAGTATCCGCGTCCTGGAGAGCTCTGCCCCTGCGCCCTGCACCGCCAGGGGACACGGGACGAGTGGGGGCAGGCCGGTGTCGAGAAGCCCTCGAGAGTCTCACACGGTGGAGGAGGAGGAGGAGGAGGAGGAGGGCTGTCCAAAGAGGTGCACAGAGTCAAACTGTTGGAGAGAGTTAAGTACCGGGGATGCGGTGTGTTAAATCCTGAGGCTACTTCAGCCTCCTGTTTCCCCTCCTCATCTCGACTGCCGAGTTCAGGATGAGTCCTGCCATCCAGGTCCCGGTTTATGACCTCTTTCGCTCGGCAGCAGCCCGTGAACAGAGGGCTACTCTCCCCTTCGGCCGTTAACTCTTGATAGGAAGTCATTATCACCTCTCCCCCTGCATAATCATTGGACGGGGGGTTCACTTCACGCCCGGCCTCTCGAGCATCCAGTAACGCATGGTCAGGCGGCTGGACGACCGTGGGGACATTCCTCAGAGGAGAAACAGCAGTCCCTGATTGATGGAGATGACGTGCCCTCCTGGTCTCGGCCAATAGCTGGACATCTCTGTCATCAGGAGAGAGGACAACACTGATTAAGCCGTGCGAGCAAGTTGAGAAACTCACTTCAGGTCAACATTTTAGGGCAGGCCGTTGCAAAAAGAAAAAAAAAACTACAAACATCCTTAAAGGCAGCAATGAAGTACATCATCATCCTCACCAGAGTGAGGGCCTTGCCGGGCCGCTCACCTATGCAGACAGGTAGGCTGTGATGTCAGACATGTTAGTGTGTCAAGAGAAATGTGCTGTGGGTCAAATTCTGGTATTTTGGTTATTTTTCACGACAACAATGAAAACTTTTTTCCCCCAAAAAAAGCAAAATTAGCATAATCTAGACCTACATTGATGGAGCTAATGGATTATGCAAATCTGCAAAGGCTTCTTGAAAACCCCAAGGCCCTCTTTAGCAAAGGGCTTAGGTCATGTGAAAGGCACACTTAATGGGTTCAGAGGTCGTGACAGCTGGTATTTAGAAGTTCAGTGGCAGCAGATTTGTAATTAGCCTCGAACAAATACCAAAAAAAGAAAGAAAAAATGGCGGAGATCAAAAAGTTGTAACTGACAGAGAGGACATGTTTAGTAGCTCCTCGGCTCCCTCCGCCCAAAAAAAGAGAGCGTGTTCATTTATGTTTGCTATAGAGGGCCCAGAAACTGCTTTTAGCTCCGTGCAACGCATCTGTGTGTTTACCCAGGAATGAATGATCGTGTGATACTATTCACGCATGTGCAAACAAAGCTACATGCCGCTATTTAAACTTGAGTGACAAAAACAAACAGAAAGTCACTCCCAAACTGCATGCACAGGATGAGTTGGAGACAATAGATACAAGTCCAGGGCTGTTGAGTCCACACTGCCTTAAAAAAAAAAACATGCAGACAATGCAGCTGGCTTGAGCTTCAGTGCTACGGTACATACACAGGAACTCAGCCCAGTATTTTCACCTCCAACACAGAAGTGAAAATGTCAAGAAGCTTCAGAGCAGAAGGAGTTTTTCCTGAAGTCTGGGTGACCCACTTCCAAATACACACAGTGTCGCTGAACGTGCTCGCATCCATTCTAAATAACAGGAATGAATAAAGCTAATAATATTCTAATGTTATGTATGTTAATGTCTGATCTTCAAACACTTTAATTGTGTTGTTTTAAATTTAAAAGTAAAGAGATGGCGTCATGTGTTCAAGAAAACTAGTTTTATTTTCTCCGAACTTCAGCCATGTTTCATGTGATTGACTGACGCACAAAAGATCACTGAAGACGAGCAGTGGTGCTGAAATTATGTTACATTTAAATTAAATTAAATTATTTAGAATTCCTTGGAATTATTTATTTGTCCTGCCCCTGTATAATATAATAATTAATATTAATATTTAATATGTTGATTAAATATGCAGGCGGGTTTTAGTTATTATTATTATTATATTTTCAGATAACTGTACAAAACTACCACCCATAACGTTTGACAAAAACCTGAACTTAAAACAACAATCTGTTACTGTTCTCGTCGTTTTATTTGAACAATATTTCCTATGTCTTTTAAGTCTGCAGTAATTACAAAATAATTCAGCGTAATGAACAACTTCTAACTGCATTCTTACAACACAGAAATATGGTCCCAGCTGTGGGAGTTAATGGGATTCTACAGGCAGCGATGTGCTGAATGACTGAGTGCAATATATCCCTTCTCTCCATGCATTTGCAGGGTGCACTGATCCATCTTCATGTCAGCTCGGAGGTTACTCAGGGTTCACGCGCTAGCTTGTTTCTCTCCTCCACACTCAATAAATAAATCTCTGCAGCTTTCTGTTTACCGCCTGAATATAAATTTGTTTGCAGTCGATCGAAGACCTGTGCGGAGGTATTAGAAATTGTATTTCTGTAATGGCTTTCAGCAGAGGGAGGGAGGGACGGAGGGGGAGGAGGTTGCAGAGAGGGGAAAAGAAGAAGAAGAAGAAGAAGAAGAAGAAGAGAAAAAACAGGTGTGAGCAATCTCTGCTTTCTTCATATGCAAACGAATTTTTAAAAATGCAGCAGCCTCAGCCTATTACAGCCTTCAGACATATTCAAATTACATTTAAAACCAAGTAACCTTTTTATCTTGTAGGACAAGAACAGCAATCCATGTTTGTGCCATATGTTTGATTAGCATATTTGAAGTGTTGTTCCACATCCCTGCCCAGCACCTTTTATGCAACAGAAGTTATATTATCGCATAAAAGAGAAAAAACACACAAGTGATCTTTAGCTGAGGCTCCTTCCTCTGGACAGCTTGTTCCCCCCTAAACCACAAATTCTGAATAAGGTGGCTTCAGGAATAAGAAAGAGAAAAATCTCACAATTTTGGTGAAATGGATTCTACAAATCTGAATTTGATTTACCTCAAACCAAATTCTGCACCCCACATAGAGCAGAAAAAACAATATTTTGCCCCCCCAAAAAAAAATCCTCTTCTCTTCAGACATTTCCCATTATGATCATATTGTCTCTGTTGTTTTGACTGGAGGTGAGGCAAACATGGCAGCACTTGGGTGGCTGTGTCAGGAGGCAGGGAAAGAGGGAAAGAATATTGACTGATGCTAATTTGTTTTGCGTCCATGCTCTGATGTGTGTCAATAGGCAGTCGAGGGCCTGGGATCAGTGCTGTCCGTGCTCGGATTACCTCCGTGGTTTGAATTGAACTCTCATCCTGCTGCTTGTGACATGACGCTGTACGGCCGCTGTTGACACCAGACCCTTGTTTAACCCTCCAACATTGTCAAGCCTCATTATACGTCAGCTCTTGACCCTCACAAGACTGGAAATTAACCAGTGCTGACAGACGACTGTCACCACCGGCCAGGGAGGTCACTGCCGTTAATGCAGTTCCAGGACGGGAAGATGACAGCCATCTATGCCGTGTTTATGGAGCCCAGGCCCATCAACGTGGGATCATGATAGAGCTGTAATGTAGAGACGGACAAAGAGAAATAAAGTAAGAGAAAAAGAAATAAAGGGTCAGAGACACAGACACAGATATTCAAGCGTGGCACATTGACCGGTTGAAAGATGGCTATTTTATATGATTGATAGAGCATGTCTGTGTTTCTCAAGTATTGACATTTTTGAAAAATAGTGATGTCAGAAGTAAGGTTTAGCTTAGTGTATACCCAGCCCACACACAATCCAGGGAATACCTCTTAAAAACAAAAAAAACCCATCCACTCACAGTGTGAAATTCTAATAATTGTCCTCGCTTCATTGTTGAATGGTATGAAATCTGTCACAGTACATGAACCATAATCATAAATCCAATGCAACTACTGTGCAAATGGCCAGGGACATTACAGATAACTGCATTCTGCACAGGCTCAACAGTGTGACAATGAAGCAATACCTTGCTAATACCAGGACTTTTCAACAATAGCCTGTAGTATGTACTGCAGCGCTTCACAGCTTCAGTGAGCCAAGAGGCTTCGAGTCGGCAGAATCCCAAACATCATGACAACAAGCCATCAGTCATCTTCCCCCCAAGCTGCTGTGCACACTTGTGTGTTTCCGGAGTTCTTACTGTGGGAAATGAGCAGGGTTAAACATGAAACAGGAGGAAATGTTCATCATTGCAGCACAGTCTGCATTATTCCCCCTCATACGGCATTGTTTTCGCTGCAGGGAAAGAGAAGGAGTGGTTTTTAATTTTTTTTTTTGCTTAAACATCCCCTGCTTGTTCACAATGCAGATCAGTACTCTACTGTGCATGCTAATCATGGTTAATAGCAAAATGCTGATAGAAAAATGACACTGTATTAAGAAAGCACTAATCTTCTGTTGAGATTCAGGAAGGATTATTACTGCAGTCAAAAAAGGAAAAATGTCAACCATGGTGACGTTTGAGAGTTAAAAGTCTAGATAATCAAGGTATTGGATAATGACGACATCTATATATTAGTTTAATGTCATTTATTTCCAATTAAGTATGTTTAATTATCTTTTTTCTCACTGTCTGATATTAAAATATAATCTGTGTCAGCTCGTTCCTGTTCTCTATTGAAGCTATATGATGTGAAGAATTCCAATTCCAACCATCGGCTCCATGAAATTTATGGCTGCATATTCCATCAAATGGAAATATTCTAGGTGTCTCGTGCATCATTTTATACGCATTTCCCGAAAATGCAGGCTGACATATTTTGTATCTTTGGAAACTTTGGTCTCTCTAGTAGAATTCAAAATAAAGTTAACTGGCTTAGATCAACGTGTGGCTGCACAGCAGCAGAGTTATTACTGTTTCAGAAATGTTTAGTTTTCAACAAGGATGATTCATACAGTCAATAAAATAAAAATGTGAATCGTGTGTTCCAGTTTTAACCCTTATATTTTGTTCACATTGGCCTTTCTTCCTAATTGTTTGGAGTCCCAGACACATAAACAGAACCAACAATTTGCTAAACTAACTAAATGTTGTTTTCTTTAAATACTTTTTGGATTTTCTCCTAAAACACAATATGTAGAAAAGTATTGAAGTGGTTCCAGTGGCCACAAAATGGGCTTGCACAAGTGATGAATGTGACAAAATATGGAAATGACCATGAATCGTTAGAGATATATTTTATTTGAGCTTAGAGTGGACCAAACAACAGCATGGGCTGGATATTCCATTGTATATTTCCAATATATTTCATTTTGCTGATCTTATTATCTTTATGTCCTTTGTTGCCTGTGAGATTTTTCCACACAACCAAAAGAAAGTGTGTATTGATTAGATTCGGTGTGATAAAGCCATTGGGTGTTAAATACTTCTTGAGTGATCAATAATGGTCAACATGTGACATTTAGCTAGGTGGCTGTTGTGATTACGAGTTCATTCATTTAACTGGTGCTCTTCAGGGGGAAAAGTGAGCTCCAGCAGGTGACTTGCTCCCTGTGCACAGTGCCGCTCACCACAGCTGAGACAGTTTCATCACCAACTTACCTTTTTATTGTCACCGATCATCCTTAACTGGGAAGCATTTAAAATGTCATTGATCTTGATAATGCCGTGCCGTAATATGACAGTAACAGTTGTATGAGATTCAGGAAGTCAAATTTCCAAGATTGATGAGTCGTAGCAGTTGAGTTATAATCCATCCACCTGAGTAATGCTCAGGCTCTGTTCCACATGAAGGAGCAGACAAATAAATAAAACCCATAAAGGTGACACAGGAAATTGATACTTAACAATCATCTTGAGCAACAAGCACCTGGAGAGACTGGTGGGCAGCAGTTACTACTGTGGAGGGAAAAGGCTGAGAAGGTTAATAGGTCATAAAAAGAACAAAACCTCCTAAAGGCCAGGCATAAAAGTTCAGGATTTTGCTCAACAGTGGACCAAAGTATTGCATGTGACAGTCACACTATGGGAAGGTTTTACTTCTATTACTTCCATCACATAAAACATCCAAATCTCAAACTCAATGGTTTTAAAGAAAAACTGAAAACAAGTCCCAACAATCTTTAATACTACGTTCACCCCAGTTTCTATTCAATGCTTTACTAATGTGCTGCAATAATGTAACCTAATGTTTTTTAGTTAATTTGGGAGCTTTTCCAATTTTTTTCTGTTTAAGTCTCCATGCCATCCTCTTACCATGAATATTTCACTAAATCCAGCCTGTAATCGTGGCACCCTTTTCCAGTGCTTTATTCACCAAAATGGTCTTTGACAGAGCGGTGTCTGAGCTGTTTTTTTTATGGTTTTCTTATATACAGTCTATTGATCAGCTATGTGACCTATGAATCACCATAATATCACCAAGTATCCAAGACAAACCGGATATGGTCATTTACAAGATATTATAAAATACTACTATTACATACTACACCACAATACATACTATTACAAAACAATGTTTTACCAACCTTTCAAAATAGTCTTTAGCAAACATATTCCATGGTTGAAAGAGTTGAATTTCCAACTTTTGATACATTTGCTGCTTTGTATTAAAAATAGAGATTCAACGTTTTTAGCCAAAACGTGTATAAACGATGATGCTCTGGAAAAGAGTTGTGTGACTTGAGTGTGGTTTTGTGGTATTTGTACTGTATATTTTATATTTATGCCTATGTATGTATTGTACATAAACATAATTTTGCAAGTATGTTATGTCAACACAGCTTCATGACTGAATCAACCCAAATTGAATCTCAACAGTGACTACAAGATACAGTAAACACAGTGATGGAAGTGGAATTATCATGCAAAATGACCCATTGCAGAACAATGTAAATTGGTTTATAATCTATAATTTGATTAATGCACGTACTGGCTGTAGACAGGGCCTTTCGTGTTGTTTGCAGCCACTGTAGTTTCTCCTACAGGCTTGGAAGGTGAGCTATATTTAAATGGTTGCAGTCTGTAATATTACTGCTATAGATGCCACTGAATCCGATACACACTGGTCCTTTAATGAATGAATAAATAGTAAATAAATAGATGTCAAACCAAGGCCACAGTATTGAAAGAGTTTTTTGTTCTTTTGGAGTGTGTTTATCCCAGTTTATACAATTTTGTGAAGTGTGTCAGTAACTGTCATCAGTTAGTGGTGTAAATAAGTACATGCATAGATTGTGGTGTAAGATGTACAAACAAAAACAGCTGACGAAGACAAAAGCTAAACAAACCTGAAAGTATTGTATAGTTAGTGAGAGAGAGGGGTCCTCAATGGTGTGTAGATTATTTTGGGGGCTTAGGAGTTTTTGTTTTAGTTCACCTACCAACCAGGCACACAATAAACAGGCACTCGCCAATAATAGCTGGGGCTGTCACATAGACATTTATTATTATTATTATTTATTTCCTCTGATGGTGATCCCCATATAATGAACAGAATTACCACATCAGAACATAAGACTCCAGCAGACACCAGCAGCTTACTGTGATGGTAATATGATGAGCGTCAGGCTTTACGTTTGTCAAGTGCAGAGGCAAATGCCTTGTAAGACACTTAGAGCAGCATGTCTTTGTTAAGGACACAGCAGTTTTGTTTTCATGGCAGCTTAAGGAAAGTCTTGATGCATAGAGCATTTTTCAAATCTAACCCCAAAATCAGTTTCACAACAGCTGCAAATGGGACAGTGGTACATCAGTCACTGTAAAGGACATAACGCAAAAATGTTCAAATTAATGATGGACCGTAACCAAAGCTGGTTTCATGGCATCACGGCTGGCATCATTTATCACTTCAAAGATCCACTTAATGCATCGCTCCAGTCTGATCAAAGCCCAGAATTTAAAAAAACATCGAGGATTTTTGGCTTTGCAGATCTTCCCTCTGAAAACAGATGTCATCATGAGGGGGGTCAAGTGAGCAAAAAGGAAATAATGACTTTAGTTTCTAACTAGGAGTGAGAACAACTGGCTAACTTAATGTTGAAATGTTCTCCCTTGCAGTGGGGCCCTTGGGGGGGGGCTTTCTATGACCCTTGGGGATCCCCCTTGACCCCATCTACAGAATTACTGCACTCCAGTGTGTGGATCCTCCTGGCTTTTAGCGTCTGGAGGGAGAATGTGGTGAGGAACCAGAGGTAAAGGTCCTATTGAGGCTCAGCACCATTAACACCATAAATCACCCGGCATATGCAAGAATCTCAGGAATCCAACACTGTCTGCTTCTTCTTCTTTGCAATCCCCCCTCTTTCTGTCTCTTTGCAGGCGAACATATTTGAAGGAGAGAACTTTTTCCTGCTTCATCTCTTTCTCTCTGTCTTGCTTTTATTACTTTTCTCTTAAATTACCCAGCTGTCACCACCTCTTTGATACAGATGTGGTGTAGACCTTTTTATTTTATTCAAAAATTTCCGGAGTTATAGCTGCTATACAGCTCCCCTGACACCTACTAAGGCCTGCTGAAAATGGTGTCAAATATTTACCAAATGACAGCTGATCCCCGGACTGATTAGCTAATAAATTAGGAGAAGGAAGTAATTCTATCCAGGACCACTAGGGGATCAGCTTCCTCATTACTTCCCCCATTTCATAGCTGTCAGTAGTCCTCTGTGACAGCTCATTTACAGTAAGGCCGCTGATATAAAACTGTCAGCATGTCCAGAAATTGTGTGCAGTTTTGTTAGGAATATTGATACTGCAGCTATCAAGTGTATGAGGAGGTTCACTCCTTCATCATGAAAGTTGTTGTCTATCTTTGTTGAGACCCAAGAGAAACTGCGACCCACTTCTGTCAAATCAACGCATAATGCCCCCGTGTGCGCAATTTAAATTTTGAAATCAAAAATAGCAAGAGGAAAATAATGTTTCCATGACGTCAATTACATTAGAGAATCCACATGTCACAATGGCACAGGGGATGCTGTTAAAAAACAAAGTGTCCTCATTGTTTTTTAAGATAATATGTTGTCATTAGTGATTGAACCTCATTGGTCTGTTGTGGCCTATGGGCTGCTGGAAGGGCTTCTAAACTACACAGCTAACATGCCCCCTGAGACGTAGGCGAGCCCCAACTTGCAGCACTACAATTTGGCTATTGAAAAGGCAAGGGTTGGGAAGGAGGAGGCAAGAGATCTTGTCATGGTGCCCAGTGGGTTCAGAGCTTGTGGTTGGAGTGCTGGAAAGACTGCCTTGTCTCAGTGATTAATGGTGGGGAACTCGGAGGCAGGAGCGAGGGAAAGGCTCATGTGGCAAGATTGTGCAACTTGAATGCACAATACTGTAGAGTTTACAATGATTCTAAAGCATGCCTTAATTTGATTACAGAATCTTTCTCATTTTTTCCCATTTGGGATCTGATCCAGGAACCCTTAATCATGAAATACCACAGGAAAAAATTTAGTTCTAATCAGCGATGAATAGGGTAAACATGGCACAAGAGTTACAGTTTTCCCAAATGCATTTATTAAGCATGTATAGTATATGACATCTCAATTAATCAAGAACAGTATCAAAGACTCACTGTATCCTTTAATGGCTTTAACAAAAATATAACATCATTCAATATGAACATTATTCTGCCCATTTCATAGTTAAAACATTTTACACAAATGACCTTCTATTTAAAGTACACAATGAAAAAGAGGCCTTAGAAAATATGACAACCACTTAGCTATTATATGACAACAGAGGGAAATAGAAAATTCACTCATGGTATGATTCCCACATGCAGTAAACATGCAACAACAATACAAATGTAACAGACACAAAATTACAGCAAAACAACGTGTAATTATTAATTGCTCAAATGTCAATGTGCATGCTTTGTAAGTACAATGAGCAGCAAGTTTAGAGACTTGTAGTCTTCAGTCACCGTGCCTGAGAAACATAAATGATATCACTGTAGCTCTCCTTTAATTAAGATATGTTCACATAATTAAAATGTTTCATGAGTGGTGAACAGGGTGTGTTCAGGGGATTTCAACGCAGGAATGCTAATCAGACATCCTCCAGTCTTTCATAAGAAAGTGAAAGTGGATGTATCATTGAGATTTTGATGAGCACAGGAGGGATGGCCATTATGGGGCCCTAGGGCCAGTTTGAAATGCCAGCATGGTGATGACTATCTATGCCCGTACAGGAGGGCAGTGGGCCATTTGCAACAGATGGAAGTACGCAGCTCAGATGGGGCAGGTCTGCAGGGTGAATATACTGACCACTGCTGGCGTCACTGTGAGAGCCAAAGACAGACATAGGGGCATAATCCATGAAGTGCATCTCTGAGGAAGAGGAAGCTCTGACAACACATGCCCCTGGAAACCTCAGAAGGTCCTCACATGAGCTCGAGCTTGGGGAGGGATTGCAGGGAGACCACCTGGACGAACCAGCCAACTTTCCGTACTTTTGCTCTTTTTTGTGCCTCATCCTGCGGTTCTGAAACCAGATCTTGACCTGCCGATCGGTGAGCTTCAGCCCGGCAGCCATCTCCAGCCTTCGGGGACGACACAGGTAAGGGCTGAAGTGGAACTCCTTCTCCAGCTCCAGCAGCTGGCTGTTGGTGAAGGCCGTTCTCTCCCTCCTGACACGGAGTCTTCCTTTGCCTGAGAGACCTGCTGCCACACCACTGCTGACTGATGCAGGAGGAAGCACATAAAGAAGGTTGTTAAAAGCAATTGCCACATATCTAACAAGTTTATCCTGAAATGTATAACCTCCACAAAAGGACTTCAAGTGCCAGTAAGGCCCATGTTAATCCTCTGGCAGTCAACCTGGGACAAAGTAGGGCCCTCAGCTCTTCCCGTGTATTCAGTCATGCTTGAGACACTATACAAGACTGGCTGTCTACTGTGTCATGTGTTCAGGGAAAGTTACCTCCCGAAGAAACAGTCTGGGGGAAACATCTGACGCCACTATGGCTGCCTGACAGGCCACATTAATCACAGCTACACACGGAAGCAGACCTGTCAAATCCCCATCTCAGTCACTTAAAAGGTACCTTGGGACCACCACTGAAAATAACCACCATTAGAGATTCTATTTGACGTGTATATGAGCGATACAAGGGCCCTGTTGATAACAATATAACATGCAGGGGTTAATGGATACTTAATAAGGCCTACAGCGACCTTAGAGGGATAACTGCACTTAACAGTAATGGGAGCCTGTAGCTTCCTTCTTATTGCTAGTTTGTTTATGTCAATACTGGTTATCTCTTCCTGTGAAAAATAACAAGCATTATTAGAATTTAAATAATTATATTATATTTACTTCAGAATGTTATTAACCTCACACAATGTGATTTTACACACAAAATAAACCTACACACTTACCTATTAGGACTGATGTTATAATCAACTGACTGACTGTATTTATTTAATGATTAAGATAGGAAACAAGATGATAAAGTTATTATATTTATATCCTCAGTGGCAAAAGAGCAGCATACAAGAAGTTTTTGTGCGGTCTTCTCACTGCAGCTTTTGTGTTTTGAATATGACATTGCCTGCAGGACTGGAAAAACAAGACACTGACATTTGTTTAACTGTGCTGCAACATTAACACTCATTCATAGACTAACCTAACTAGAGAAGAAAGAGCCTTCACATCTGATGAATGGACTTTTGTTCATGATAAACGATGCAGGTGACACATTTGACAAGTGAGACTTTTGCTTGTTCTGTTTGTAAATTTGTAAATTTGACTCTGGGGATGACTCGCTGCAGCATATACATTCAGTGTCTTCATGCAACGAAATGCCTAACTGATATCAATGTTATAGTCAAACATTCAATGCACAAATGAGGGAGATGCTCATTAATTTGGATGTATGGATTCACCCCGTTAGACCACTTAATGAAGACTGCGTCAACAGTATTTTTGCACACTCTGTAATGGCTTTAAAACGTAAAAGATAATAAACAAAACCGGAGTTACCAGATTGTTCAGAGTCAGTTGTCCGTAGATTCATCCAGGGAAACATTACTCCTGAGCGGCAGATGGTGAGTAGATTGCAGCTCCTGCTCTTGATGTCCAGCTTGCCCTTGGCATGGCAGTGAACCAGAGGTTCCAGTGGGCACTGAAACTGTTCACCTGGGTTCAACCTGGAACTGACAGGAGCAAAGGAGGTCATGTGTTGCTGATCAACTTCTGCTTCTTGGCCTTCTCCACCTCCTCCTCCTTCATTGTACCCGCTTAGTTTTGGCACTTGTCCAGAGCTCACAGCAAAACTGTTGTCATGCAGCTGCAATGGAAGGGCAGACTGTTGGGGGTCCATGGACCCAGCTCATCAAACTGTCTCAAATAAAACCAGGAATCCCTCAACAGTACTAAAGACTATGACTTCTGTCTGTCTAATATCCGATCACAATTAACCTGAAAGTATAAAGGCATGCAGGGAAGAGCACTTGGAGTAACCATGTGGAGCATTTGAATAATATTTACCAGAAGGGTGCCGTAGTCACGTGTGGTGGTCCTCCAATGACAGAGCTCTGGAGTTGCAAAGTAATCCGCTGGCAACTTGGGGTGCCCGAAGAAGCTCCTGCGATATTTCTTCAGACAACATTTCTATGAGCAGCCTGCGTTTCTTTACCTAGGGATGAAAAAAAACATATAACGGAATATGAGTAGACGCCAACAACTGTGTAACCAGTGTGAGAGAAAGAGGGGAGATGTGTTTATACGGTGAGGGGGAAAAAATGGCAGAGGAGGGGGGAGACAGAGAGAGATTACAATGTGTGGTGAGGAGGAACGTCTCATTAGAAACTGAAGGGTTCAGTTCTTGTAATATTGTAAAATCTTTTGACAGGACGCGTTTGTTAGAAGGAGCCGTCGCTTGCAGCTGCACATCCTGAACTTTTTGTGGTAGGTTTTTTTTTAATCAGACACAACGCGAGGAGTTCCTGCTACAGTAGGCTATGTCTATGAGCTGGAATAATATACTGGATAATAGCTGGATAATAACGGGTTAGCGACCACAACTCATTATTTTTGCTGAAGCCTTTTTTTCTGCGTAAAATGCTTGAAAATAAATTGTGTTCCTGGGTATTTTTTCCCAATTAAACATAATGATAAATATTATTTATTCCCACATTTCCATGCTATTAGCGGCTCTATCTATGGACATCATGCAATAAGGCTGCTTTCTGCCTGTAAAAGAAATTATTCCGATTATACTGGATAACTTAGTTTGCAACTAATTTAACTGCCCATCATAAATCGGCGGGCTTTCCTTTAAATAACAGCATATGCTTATAACTGTCGGAGTGGAAGTGTAGCTTTGGCTTAATAGGATTCACTGGGAGTGGTCAAACAAAGGCTTGACAGTCATTGCCACACAAAGACAAAGGAGGCAATCATTAGAGATTTTTTTCTATAGGATGATTCAACGCATTTGCATTAATCAGGCATCACTGTACAGTATCAAGTGTTCCTGTCTGTGGCTCTGTGAGGCAACAGTCAAACACTGTGGTGACTTTTGATGGTAAACATCCCGCTTGCTGCACGGCTGCATGGACAAAGAGTAGAAGGAGATGTTCAGCAGAGCCCTTATTTATATGCGCCAGTTTGCAGTTACAATGAAGAGCACACAAGACATTAAGAAGGTAGAAAAATTACCATGAAGGTGCAAAGCACTTAAATAAATATATGAATTTTGCAACTTCATTTAAAACCCCCATAATAAATATTTTTGGGGGAAATTATTTTAAAAGCTAAACGCTCCATCAAGTGTGGCCTAACTGAGTTACACTTTGAAAAAAAATCTCATAAAACACGATTGCTTAATTTCAACAATGCACAAATGTATGCAAAGTGGATAAATAACTAGAATAATGAAGCTATCACACAATTTTAAAATAGTGCACCCAAAAGCATCTTCCCAAACGAGAGGGTTTTTGCAGGCTATGATATTAGCATATTCTGTGCCAGTATCAATCTTAGTTGAACCAGGCTTTAGATATAAGTTCTTTCTGGTGTTTCACTACAACAAAGCTGTCGAGAAAACCCTCTTTAGATGTCTCTCAGCGGTGATGGATTATGCACTCAGGGTTGCATAGCTTGGAAGAAGAGGAGCCTTCCCCCTTTTCCGCCTCACCCCTGCTGCCACCATCACTGAGGCTTCACCTGAACCTCCAGAGTGGAGTCACGTCCTTGGATTTTTTATTTTAAACAAATGAAATATTTTACTTGTGAATTCAGTTGAGTTCAGATCAAGGACACAGTACAACTACTATCGCCTCCATACACTATTGGTAATCAGCATCAAAATGACAATTAATTATGTTATTATTGATCATAGTTCAATTTGAAACTGTAAAAATGCTAAACGTTTAGCTAAGAGATCTGATTTTAATTCGGAAGTAATGCTGACTGTGACCAGGTTTAATCCTTTCAGTCTGTCCATTAAAATGGCAGTTAATCTCAGTATAGTCTGAGTATAGGCCAACAGAGCAAAATGAATAATACAAAATCGACTTTATCTCCTTGTATCTGCTTTTATTTAAAAATCGAACTATTATTATTATTATTATTATTATTATTATTATTATTATTATTAACTGGAGAATTAGGCAGTATCCATCAGCACTGACTGAAATGGGGGAAAGTAATTAAATTCGTTTTGTTTTCCTTGCCTCACACCCTTGAACACACTCTCTGAATTGGAGATAGAATCTATGATATACTAGCTCAGCAAGACCATAATTTAGCTCCTCCGCGCCTCCACCACAATTCTCCGTGAACTCTGTTTGAACCGCCTCAGTGGCAATAAATCATTTTTCTCTCTCACACAAAAGCGCGCCGGTCGCTCTGGGTGTCAACCCTTTTACAATTCCTCCTTACCTTCTGCGCTCTCTCGCCTGCTGACACAAACAACCAAGGAAATCGTCGATAAACTTTTATTTTTCATACCAATAACTTACAGAGAAAACGGTACCGGAGAACGGGAAATATCTGCAGCCGAGCACACGCAGCGGGGAAATCTGCAGAATGTACCACAATTCTTATATTTGTATCTTCTTTTTCCATAAATTATATATTCCTTTACACATACACACACAAAAAAAAAACATAATTGGTTTTCAGAGCTCAACGAATGCACGGATCAGTTAATGTATTTCCAGGGGACAGAGCTGGGCAGATAAGAGGAGACTGAGAGAGAGAGCTGGGGAGAAGACGTTAATGGGCAGAGGATGCTGTCGGTTAAAACGGTGCATACAAATGGCGCTGTCTTGGCAGAGCAAGGAGAAGATTTATGGGCCCGGTGCCCTATATTGCTGTAAACAATGCAGAGTGAAATGAAAGGACTAGAGTTTGCAGACTGCACTTCATAAGTGAGGAAAAGACACACATTGTCAATTTCCCAAACAAGTCCCGACTTTTGCATAAGCATGTGCATTAACATAGAGTATTAATTTGGGCCTGCTTATAGTACAAACCACTGTAAATCCTGGCCTGTCTGTGGAGAGTGCAGACAAAGATAAATCCTGCAGCTCTGAGCCACTGACTAAATGTACTTTTTGGGAATAACTTGGTTTTGTGTTTTTATTCAGGAGAAATGTGTTTTTCAGATGTCTATAGGCTACTCTTAAAATAAAATAATGCTGCAGCAAAAACATTTTATAAAATATTTTTCCTCTGAAATCTGATGTGCAATAAGTGTTGACATCTTGTATGCATATTGACTATAAAGGACCTAATATTGTTTATTTGTCAACTGATAATAGTTGAAAATATAGGCCGTTTATTACAAAAAAATAGAAACCTTAACATAATAGGAAAACATGAATATGTTACTTTTATAGCATCATTTCATCAGTTGACCAGTCAATCAATCTGGGGATGATAGAAGGTCTCAACCCTGTGTTTTAAAATTGTGACCCTTTTGTTTAGATTATGTATGTTACATTTAACATTTAATTATCTGTTCCATCTTGTGCATCAATATGTGGCTGACGTGTAAAAATGGATCTCCTAATGCTGCAGCAGCTGTCCTCAGAGGGCTCAGACTATGAGACTATTGCAGTGGAAATGCAACTGGTGGCCACACAAATACACCCGAGAATCATTTTCAGGGAACAAATCCAATAAAAAAGCGCGTTTTCACTTAACCTATACATAATTGTGGATCTATAGTCTCAGGATCCCATATTCAGATCACTTTTGCTAATGAAAAGTGAATAACATAATCATAACTCAATCTAGCGACTGTCTGGGCCCCCAGTGACACCTTGAACTGAGGGGAAATGACTGTAATTTCTAAGGTCCTCAACGATGCAGCAAATAGGCTAATGAAAAATTTCCCAGCGAGGCGTTATGATGACATAAAGTATTACTGGCAAGTTTACCCAGGCCATCATCTCCAATGTGATGTGATGCTGAAGTCTATCAGACTGTTGATCCAAGCTGCTTTGTCGTCCCCTGTTTGAAATGTTTGCCAGCACTGTCAGTAAATCACTTTAACATGTCTGATGGAGTTTTAAAATCTAGTTTTATGTAAAATCATTTAACTCTCCCTCTATCACACACACACACAGAGAGAGAGAGAGAGAGAGAGAGAGAGAGAGAGAGAGAGAGAGAGAGAGACACACAAAAAGAGAAAAAAAAAAAGAAAGAAAGAAAAGACATGGTGCATCTGCTCCCTAGAGTGAACGGATGGGAGAGAGATTTACGGATTTATGACACACCCACTGCTGGTCAATGCGAGAGAGCCTCTCTGTCCCTGGAAAATAGCAGCGTGACCCCAGTTTCAACTTTCAGCCTTTATACAACTGCCATGGCTGCCGTTTAAACACACTACACCATAACAATACACCGGCCCCGGACCTTTCTTTGCAAACCAAAGTGGTCGAAGAAGACACTCACCTGAGACGAGTGAAAAAAAAATAAATAATGTTAGTACTTAACCCGGTGAAGACACAAAAAAGCAGGTAATAAACCACGCCACCGCCAGAACAGCTGGTCATTTTTGTTTCCAGTTTGCGCTTGTTCAAATATTTCGATGGCTGTTTGTGTAAAGTTTTTATATCTTGCAAGAGAGAGAGAGAGGGAGAGAGACTCCTCGCCTGAGGTGCTCATAAATCACAGGCAGCCTGCAGCGGTGCAATGTGAGCTGAAAATCATGCGTGTGATTCAACAGTCTCAAGTCAGAAAAAGAAACCAGTTAGGGGCTGAGTAAGTGTTGAGGAATTTAAACACTGAACTTCAAACACATAAAATACACCTTATTCCTGCAAGGTGCTGAGGTTAAGAATAACTAACAGCCGCTCAAAGTTATTCTACAGCTTCAGCTGGGAGCAAAGGGCTGCTTAAGGATGAGAATTGAAATCAAAAATGTATTTGAAACTTTAAAAATGGCTCTCATTCATAAAACAAGGCAACATATGAAGTTATTAGTCACGGATATGTTCTCTTATTTAATTTATGTTGATCTTCTGACAGGTAAGACCACTCAACTTAACTTTGAAGTTAATAGTTTTAAGGAATTATTTGCTTGCTTAGATGATGTGAGAAGTAAACATGTAAAGTACGCGACGAGCGCTTTTTATACTTAAATATTATGATGATAAATATCTGTGTAAATATTAAGTACAAAAATTTCCGTTGTGTGGAGTAGAAGTCTGTGCGCATTAACCCCAAAGTTAAATAACAAAAAAGACCAGACTGATTTATGACTGACAAACGACATGAGCTCTCTGTTTAAATAATTGTTTCAAATCACACATTCTGTTTATTCTCATAATAAATCTAACAAGGCCTTATATGGGCGTATTAATTAAATCTTTGGTGAAGCTAAATCAACAAAAAGTCAAAAAAAGAAAATATCTGCAAATTATGCCTCGTGTACTCTACTTTACACAAATCTTCAATTACAAGAGCTCAAACAAAAAGCGAACATCCAGCCATTGTTCAGAGTGTAACTTGAGCTACACCTGTAGCCCGTAGGACAGGAGGCTGAATGATCGCTCACACATCACCGAGATTAGCTGTTTGGTTTTCACTGGCAGCTGTTTATCTTGGAAGGCATGCTGTCGAATATTTTTCCATCAGCGCTGAATATTTGGTCCTGGTAACGCACACGAGAGACCAAACGTGGTTCTCAAGTGAGAATATTATAATATAACTTCAAAGCTGCTTGCAACCACGACACTGAGATATCCCAAATAAGCAGAAAACTAAGAAATGTATCAGAAATGAATCAGTTCAGACATATATCTATGCAACAAATCTCAGAAAACAGCTCTCATTTAGTGTGTTTTTGTTATAATCATTATGATTTCTGGAGAATAATTTGTCAGGAGTATATAGGTTACATTCTGTCTCATATCAGGAAAATTTGCATTGGGATTAAAAAGTTTTTCTAAAAAAGTTTTAGAGAAGAGTTGCAGAAAGTTTGCAAGGTTTGTGTGTCTACAGACGTTAAAGGTCTAATCACAATGACCAACTGTCCCAGTACTGTCACAAACACCTAGCTATAATTGGCAGCTCACTTTTGAACGGAAGTGCTGACCTGAGGCCAGTCATGTGACCGCACCAACTATTTTTACTGCCTCCTGTTTTTTGGACACTTTTGGGAATATAATTAATCCCTGGAAATGTTCACATTTTTAAACCTCGATGCTAATTTTAGTTCATTTATAATCTCATCAATTCAAGAGAAAAAAAAAAAAAAGCCTGCTCAATAAATGTAGCTACAATATTCTTATTTTCTCTCACATACAGGCTCGGAAAAGCTTAAACACAGAGAATAAGATAAATATCTTTCATACTCTATGTTGTCACTGCATTTTCTCCACAAGTTACCACAAATTGTTGCCAGCTCGGTTTGGGAAACGATTTCAGATGCTCCAAAGAAGGCGCATGTTTGGAAGTTCTGCAGGTCCTGTTGGATGCAGAGAAGAGGACTGTCCGAGACTTGTCCTCGATCACTCTGATTAACAAAAGGGGAGCAACATATTCAGTGATGCCCCGCCGCAGGCCTCTCTATAGGCACAACGTAGAAAAATCCACAAAGAAAGCCGAGGCCAAGGGGGACCAGTGAGGGCGCACACAGAAGGTACACGTATAGAGAGTGAGTCAGGTCACAGGGTTGGAGAGGTCGGCCATCCAGACTGAAATGAGCCTAATGGGACAGAAAATGTGTCCTCGAGGTGAACTCGGCCTTCTCTCACTTCGCCCCCAAACTTCAATAAAGTACCTTTTCAGCCTCGCGACATGGAGGCGACAGGGCCTAGAAAGGGATTGGAGGGATGCTGCGACTGTGGCGAGCACATTAATTTCTCTAATCTGTCCAGCAACATAAAGGCTTCTGGATTCATTTTTCAGCGCCGTCTCACCACTATTCTAGTGCCTTTCCAAAGCCAAAAGGCAGACTTTTAACCGCCTAGGTCCAGTTAAAGTGAGTTATTTTAAAGTCCATTTAAACTCTCACATTTGGGGAATAATGGTAAAGGATACGGCCTGGTACATGATATTTGGTAGGAGCAAAACTGGCTGTTGTCAGAGCTGTTTTCCAGAACATAACACAAAGCTGTGTAGTAGAGAGATTGATGACGGAGAATACCTCTTCCTTTTGTGCTCTTTTGCCCCCCACTACGCGAGGCATTTTATAAGGCCTATTCATGTCACAATTTCAATAATCTATCAAATTCTTGCGCGTCTTTGGGCTTAAGTCATGGTTAAACTGAAATCCTTCTGCACAGATCTGTTCAAAAAACAAAAACAAATGAATGCATCTTTGTGAGAAGGAAAAAAAAAAATCTTAAGACAGTTCAGTTTGAGTGATATTTCGTCAAATTGTTGTATCAGTCCAGCAGATCTACAGTCGTAAACAGTCCTGCAGTGTGTTGGTCCTCTTGCCAGATGAAAAGCGGGCGATGACGTTGCAGTGAGCGCCTGTTTTTGAAATTGTAGTTTTCTTTTTTTTTTTTGTATTCTCGCGAGCTGCTGCACACTCTGGAGGCGACTCTGTCTGCTGGGGGAGACTGACAGCAGGTAAATGTGGGAAAGTGTTCATGGGAAAGCAAAAAAAAAATAAATAAAATAAAAATCTAAAAGTGAACACACAAGGAAATATATCAGCAAAGCTTCTTTGCTCCAGGACACTGCTGCAGAGCCTGATAACAAAGGTCAGCTAGTTTACCCATCACCATCCTCCATGGGATATTTAACGAACACCACATGACGCAGTATATTGAATCTATCTGCAATTCACTCTTTATTAAAATTTTTTTATTTGTTTTTTTTGTTGTTTTTTTTTACATTTGAAAACTCAGTCGCATGGCGTAGTGGACTATAGAAAAAGCAGGGCAACTACTGATGTTACAAAATGAATAAGAATAATTTCACAACAATTTATAATCTCTAACACATTGCAAATGTCCTCTAAATTAATCGCATGCAGCTTTGTGTTCAAGTCAAGACGAAGGAAGCAAGAGAGCTTCAGTCTAGAGGCAGTGCAGTGTGGAGTGGAGGGCCTCAGTGGCTTGTCTTTAGCGTTAATTGAATGCCCTTCAGACTGATGAGGTTGCACATAATGCATAGCGCAAACTATTTCATTTTCAGATTTTAGAAATAACTTCAGTCCATTATGAGTCGGGCTTTAACACACACACACACACACACTCACTCACACAAACATACACACACAACCACACACTCACCCTGTCTGTACACATTGCTAATTTAAAGACGCGAGAATGAGCTGCAGGACTTACAAACACAGTTTGAAAACACAGTGATTCTTCTTTCCCTCTTATGAAATGTTCATACACTGTACACTTTTAAGGTGATCTGTCCAAATAGCCATAACAATAGCAGACCTCATCTTGCCTAAAATGAAGTTCGACCAAACGTATATAAAACTAGTAGACACTCACTGTTTTATTGACCAATATGATTAGCACAAGTACACTACACTCCGTTTATTGCATTTCACAATAATCTGCTTTTTAACGGTCTAAACACAACATCAACACCACAAAACTAAATTGTAAATCAAAATCCTGTTTCTGAAATACACGAGGTAATTCACACATTGTTATTATCCAAAACATACAAGTTCAAGATCAATGGTGTGTTCCAGCTTTTTTATACCAAAAATAACTATTATTATATTGATTTCCTTCCAGTGTTGTTTGAAATAAATAGATTGTGCATTTCACCTTGGGCAGCAGGGCAAAAGAATGGCCCACAATAACATTTTGATAAAATGTATATTTTTTCTACTTTTTTTTTCCTTCATTCAAAACATTTTTTAATAAAAAACATCATTTTAATTGAGCTTCAAATAAATTAAACCCTGTGTCACGTAAAAATAATTCATCGGTATTCGCAGTAATCCATGCTATATAACATGCATTTTATATAACTTTGGACTTAAAGGAAACCGCACAAGATAGCTACGAAAACAAAATATATAATTGTTCTATAAATAACCAGTTCTTTTTCTACCCCCGATCTTGGTTCGTGGTTTTATAACCTGGTAATATCCTCGCCATGCTGTGCTCCGGTGAGTTCGTCGGGGGCCCCAGTGTTAGTGGCCGAAGCAGCGGCAACAGCGCCGGCTGCTGAGCTTGTGTTGGACCCGGAGGAGGAGGAAGAGGATCTCACTTTGGTGTTCGGGAGCCTGTGATCCTTTTTCCATTTCATCCTGCGGTTTTGAAACCAGATTTTAATCTGTCGCTCGGAGAGAACCAGGGTGTGGGCGATCTCGATGCGCCTCCGCCGAGTTAAATATCGGTTATAGTGGAATTCCTTCTCCAATTCTAAGACTTGCTGCCGGGTGTATGCTGTCCTAGACCGCTTGGGCTCCGTCCCATTGTAAGCCGAGTTCACTGGAGAAAGGATAAGTGGAGAGAAAGGGAGACAGAGAAGGGAGGAAAGGAGGGGTAAACAAGAATGGCCTCAACTGAGATATGGCTAGAAAGATTTATTGGATATGAATGTTTAGCTGTTTGAGAAATTTAAATGGGAAGTTAAGAACTTCTCAGCGTAATGAGAGGACACTCACATCCAACTATGAGCTAAATTATTAATGCAAGATTACAAAGCTCAATTTTTTTTTTCTTATTCATTTCTCCCCCTCTCTCTATCGCGCAATACATAACAGCAGAAGCCACATGGTGATACGGCTGCCCTGAGTATACCTCGGCTATAAAATTTATGGTGGGTGTAATTACCAATGCCGAGTCGTAAATCCGCCTCAATTGTGCCATTTCAAAGGCTTCCCTGCTATCGGAGCAGGGGCTGGCAACGAGATGGGAGTCAGAGGGACTGATAAAGGGAGGGAAAGGGAGAGAGGAGCATGAGGAGTGCAGGGAACATAAACACACAAGTTGCCTACCAGTGCTGACGTGAATTTTCTTCATCCATGGGTACACCACGGGCTGCTTGGAGGAGGCTGTGCTGTTTGGATGCTCCGGGGTAGCTTGGTTGCAGGCGGAGGTTGCGGCCGGTGGGGTGGCGGGGGACATGGACAACTGTGGGGTTTCACATGAAGCAGGTTGCCCTTTCCCTGTCAGCAGGTGCGCAGATTGGGGTATTCCATGTCCCCTTGGCGTGTCAGGTTCAGGGATGCTTGCACAGTTATACTGGCGCTCTTGGTAGCTCGCCCGCGGAGGATATAACTCCTGATGGTGATGCTGGTAGCCAGAGTCCCTTGCGCGGCTGTAATATTCTGGACTATGCTCTGGGATGTAGTTATTTTGCGAATATTCCTCGCATGGAGGAAATTTCGGATCAATGTAGTTAGACTCCATCAAATACGAGCTCATGATCATTAATTTCTGGAGTGGAAAATAATTTTTCTAGCTTTGTCGTTTTTCTGCTCCATAAAGCCCTCCTACTTGCGAGCAGCCCTGTAAAGTTACTTTTACCACGTGACCCAATGGCCCAATAGCAGCGTAAGAGGTAGTTCCCGGATAAGGAACCAGAGGTATTTAGCATACCTACAGTCGCCATTGTGGGCACAAATCTCTCTCTCTCTCTCTCTCTCTCTCTCTTTCTCTCTCTATCTCTCTCCCCTCTCTCTCACTCTCTCTCTCTCTGGTTGTGTTAGCAAGGCAATTGATCTTGGGGACAAAACTAGTAGCTAGTTGCTGACCAAGGAAAAAATAAAACAGGCAAAATCCACTGGTCTCAATTATTCAAAGGGACAATAGGTGATTCGCCAAGGATAAGATACAACAATAGCAAACCAATCATTTTGTTAGCCTGCACGCCTTATATAAAGGTTATCTGCTAATTAATGAAGGCACCGTCATTACAAACAGCACTTCAGCTGTGAAACAGATTGCACTTCATTAATACACTTAAGAACTAGAGCTGCATTTTGATGATATTCCTAAATGCATTTCAGCACTAATATTTAATAGGTTTACTTTGAATCTAAATGTCAGCGAGGGCTGGAGTGTTGTGATGCTCTGGAGGTGTGGTTGATGTTTGAAAATAGGTCTGATAATTTATAATGTTGGAGAAAGGTGGACAGGAAGAGTCTGGCTGCCCAAACAAAAGCCTTCATTCAATGATGAGAGATTTGTCTATTTTGAAGTGATACCATTTTTCTTCCAGGGTATTCATTAAAAAGCTCTGCTTTCAACTTTTAATTAAAATTGGTAAGGATAACATCAAAAATGTGTCTGATTGAAGTGAGGAGTCTGACAGGAGTATACTTTTTGAAGCAGTTTTGAATGTCACAGCAGCAAAAATCAGCTGGAAGCAAAGGTGGAGGAAGTTTTGAAGTAAATAAGATGATAAGAATAAAGAAAAGTCATGGGGGTCCTGGTCTATGGTACAAAATGGTTAAAAGTATATAAAAGAGAAAAGTCAAAATGTAAAACATGCCTTTCACCTTTATTAATAAGCTCTATTTCTGAAAGATACAGCAATCATTCAACAAAAGCCTCAGTACATATATTCAAATATCATTATGAGCACCAACAAAACAGTAGAGAACAAGCAGAGAGGATATCATAGACCACAGAGGAGTGAAACAGCAGCCGGGAGATCCAACTCAATAATACCAGTGTGACTTCACAGACCAGCCAATATAAAACAGCACCACTGTGGAGTCACAAACCTGACAACTGTGCAGAGCAGCATCATCATGATGTCACCGACCAGTCAGCAGTGGGACACAACCATTATGATGTCACATATCCAAAAGAAAGGGGACCACTATCACGATGGTGTCGCAGACCAGAGGGTCTCAAAAAATCATGAAGTGCAGAGGAGCTGCACCGTGTCACAGAGAAGTTAAGTTACATTTGGTTGTTGCAGACCAGAGAGAGTAAGAGCGTTTAGGAACAGCTGTACTCCTTCACATCAGATAAAAGAGCCCTCCCACATCCAGGGCAGTCCTGCTCAGAGATGGCATGCTTGCAGATTTGCAAAATAAGGCCAAATACAAATCCTTTGATTCTGCTGGGGCTTTTTCTGACAAAAATACATATCTTGGTTGTATTCTTTCCATCTCCTCATGGCTGTCTGTTTTTACAACATTGAAAAGTCCTTGTCTTTTTTTTTACTTGAAAGCTTTGTTATGGCCTAAATAAAAGCATGTATGTACATCAACTGAATCTGTGTGTGGACAAGCTACAAACCAAATGTTATGAAAGAAAATGCTGAGAGTAAGAATATGAATATTGCAATGTATAGAAATAAATTGCAACTGATTTGTGTACAAACAAGTCTACAAGCTATATTTTGCTTTCAACTATAGTTCCACTTATCCTAAATATATATACAAATATAATACAGAAAATAATAATAATAATAATATGTCAATGACACTTGCTGTCTTGCTGCCTTTTGGATATACAGCCTACAAATGTTACATGCTAATCATGGCTGAAGCAGTGACCATCAGCCACATTACTGGAGGTCTACTGCTCCACTGTAAACTGATCCTGCCTGGCTGTATAAACTTGTCATGTGCTGTGTGCTTCCCATTCTTATCCCAGCAGAGTCAGCTCGGGTCAAAGAGACAGAGAGAAAGGTTGACTCCCTTATAGCTTAGCAACCTCTCAACAACATCCATATAATTGTATTCTTCTTTTTTTTTCATTGTTATAATAGGTGTAGGGTCACCAACAGCCTAAATTACAAGTACAAAAAAATCCAATAATATTATTATTGTTGTTAATAATAATAATAATAATAACAATAACAACAACACGTTTCACAAACGTCGTGGGTTCCCTCTTGAAGACATATAAAGCCTGAACAGAAGCAGCACACAAGTCAATCCACAACAGCACCAAATTGAAAGTTACCGGATGTATCTATTTTCACTGCAATAATTACATAATATTGGTTTAAAAAACGACGTGAAAAAGGTATTTCTGGCTGTCCTGTTTGTACAGAATGCGCACGACATTTCTATTACCCCTAGCGAGGATGTTAGAGGCGTTTTATAGAGCAATAAAAGCCGTAAATCAGTCACTTTTAAACGACCCCTGGTTCCTAACGTGTTTTACAGGGTCTGACACAGTAGTAGCCGCACACTGCACACATGGCTTTGCTCTCTGTGGCCTATCTACACAATCTATGGCTGTCTGGACTATGAATACATTTTGTGACAATGTTATTGCATTGCTAGAGCCTGAATGTAGGATGCATGTGTATATCACCGATGCTTGTGTATGCAAAAGCAGGGACAAGGCAGAGAGACATGCAGACGAGCAGAAGCAGGAGCAGAAGCAGAAGCATCCCTTGGCTGGCGTAGTATTTCAGTTGCCCATGTATTCCTGTAGAGACGTATTTGCGACTGTTTGTACTTCACACAAATTCGGTTCTACAGGGTACATATAGACAACTAATGTGTTTTAGGTTAGAGTCTGCAAAGGTGATCCTCTCGAACAAATCCCTACGCTGAAATGGGACTGGCATGCATTTGAGAGCAGTGTCATAACAAATATTAAGGCTGCAATAGAGGAGAAATACTGCACAACGCTTGCGCCAAAGCGGAGGCTGTTTATCAGGGTTGCTGAAGCCACAAACACAAACTAAATCTGCTCTGCCCTTAATACATTTTACACAATGACAGAAACTACCACTTTAACATCTTTTCTCCAATTCGCTTACCCAAATATGCCTCACACACACACACACACACACACACACACACACACACACACACACACACAATCACGTCGTGTGCAAAGGACAAGAGGGTCTCTTTTCTTAACATTCAACCTCTGCCTTTGAGGTAGCTCATATATGAATATTCAGTCACAAACACGGCGGATACAAAGGGACGGCGTGACAGCACAGATGAAAAATAAGTTTCTATTGTTCCCCATCATTTCTTCTGCTTGCTATTACCATACTGACCGCTCGGTAACCTTTCTTCCTGCCACTCTGGAAGCTAATGAGAAAAGCCTCGGATGAAAAATGCAATACCAGACATGTGACCTGTTTCGGGGTTATTAAAAACAGCAAACATGCTCAGATTGTGAATCAATGGAATTGATTACAGTGGAGAGGCACAGGGGACTTCAAACACTGTCAAAAAACATCTTAATCTACATATTTCTCCGCGTGCATTCTGTGTATCAATTCGATAGATTTTTTTTTATTGAAGAACAAAGCATCCTGAGCCAACACACGGCGAACTTACGAGGAAATAGTCACAAATAAAATCTAACTCATGTTCATTTGGCTTTGTCATATGCTCATCTAAATACACGCTGTTTGTTGTGCACCAAAGCAGTGTGACAGAGCTGCACACACACCACAGACTCCCTCTCTCCCCCGTGCGCTCTGGCGGACGCATTTTAATATTAGTTAGACAGCCTGACCCGCGTTTCACCCCTCGCGTTTGACTGGTTCCAATAGTTCACTGCCAAGGATTATTGATGGAGAGACAGCAATGAATTCTTTCTTCCCACAAATGGCTTTCAGATCGTGCACCTAGTTCAATAACTAGTTATAATGTAGAAGTACAAAAAATGAGGCCCTCAGGCGGACTAATTTGATGTTTCATTTGTTCATTTGAGAAATTGTTAAGCTTTCTTTTTTTTCTTTTTTTCCCCTCCCTGCAAAATAACAGCCGTACAAGCATGTTCACACATGTACATATGTAAACAGAATAAATCTGTGCAAAACTATGTGAGGTTGTTGTTCTGTCCATGCCTGGCTGTTTTTTAATTTGGTGGCCCAACAGCACCTGACCTGGATGCAGACAGAGGAGCAATATTCCGCTCCCTGATGAAAATGGTTACGATGCGCGTTTAATCAAACCCTTAACCTAATAGCCTTTACACGTTTACTCTCCCCAGGTGTAATAACGTTAAGCTGGATCGTCCAGTTAAAATAAAAAGTTTTAATGAAGTGCAGACAGACTGGAGACTAGTTGGATATGAATACTCTCTAAAAGCAGCAGCCAGGGGAGCAGAGGTGGTTTTAGATACTAGATGCCCCCACCGAAACCATTGGTTGGTTTGCAGTTCATTCTAGCAATGCTGTGGTTCATTAGACTCATACTGCAACTTTTTTTTGGGCTACTGCAGTCTGCAGAAAGACACTACCTCGAACTTATTTGTAGTCTCTGTTCAAGCATTTAATATTTGAAAATGCAAAATTGAAATCTACATTTATTTGGAAGTAAAACCACCCATTGTTAAACCGCAGTCCTTATATCAACACCAGAATCCCTTAAACAAATTTGATAAGTGATCAGTACCCTTGATGTGGAGCCAGCTGTTTGCCTACAGCCAAATAACAAGCTCCATGAAGTGTCACTCCTCTTGACTATAGCCAGGTGGATAGGCGAAGGATAACACTTACTGATAAATCCACGGTCCCACTCATTTTGAACCCGATGAACTGTCTGAAAAATAAAAGGGAAACGAAAAATTAGATCAAGAATACTTCTTTAAGTTAAAAAATGACTTTTTGCAACAAGCTGGAAAATTAAAACGCTTGACAAATAATGCCCAAAGTATACAAATTGTTAAATTAATATTTACATTTAAAATAAAAAAATAAAAACATCTTAGATCAATAAGTTATCCACTGGCCATTCCCTAAATTAACTGAGCAAGTATTTGTAAAGTCATAGACATCAGGCGTTTGAAATTAAGGGATGCAGTTTCGTTTTCGCTCCATTTAAAATTGCTCCCATATAATAAAAAATAGTAATAAATAAAAATAAATCAAAGGAAAATAAGAGAAACAAATGATACAAAATAATCGAAAAGCCACACATATTTATTTCATACTAAATCATTTCCCTAAAAGTTCATTTTCAATACAGCAACGAACCGTTTGCGTTATTATTTCATCTTAATGATCCTTCAGTCTGTCCCTTTGCCTCTGATCTCCTCTGTTATCCAGCCTAATTGAAGGGAAGCTGCCCTAGAAAAGCTTTGACATGTATCGGGCTCTTGCAGAACTGGGACCGAGGACAGAAATTTAGGACGGGTCATTTTCAGACAGTAAAACTAAATTTACAAGCATTTTGGTATTTCCTTGGGCAAATGTTCTATGAATAGAAATCCCTGGACTTCAGCGCAGCTGAATTATGGCGAACAGTCAATAAAAAAATTACGACTTTGTCTTCACATTGTAAATAAATTCTGTCTGTGTTCGAAAACGATGTAATGGGACTTTATGGTTCTTATTTGGGCTCAGACAAAAGGAAGTCTGTGCTCAACCGGAAATGACCTCTGTGGATTGAATGATGACAGTGTCAGCTCCACAGGTCAGAGAAAGGAATACAACAGCACAGAACATGGCAGACAAAACGGATGTTTAGACTGTTTCACTTTTACTGGAGTGATATTAGACTGTTTTGAGCTGCAGTGTCTCTGCCCCAAGTTAAATTAATATTTGATTCACACTTATCCCAGGACGCAAATACTGAAAACTCAGGAAATAAAATAATTTCGATTATAATAAGGGTCCTGTAACCTCTTTGATGATATATATGACAGATCTAATTCGTTTCTAATTTATAGGAAAAGAGGAAAACATCTTTTTGAATTTGGGGATGGTTTTTTATTGTATTTTGGGAGTTTTAGGAGGATATATTTTCTCCCTCTGGTAATATTAAATATACAGTACAACACAAGACAGTACCACTGCTTAAACAACATGGCAAAATAAAATAAAATAAAATGTTAGGAAAGAGCTGTAATCCATGCCCTTACGTGGACACACACTGTATTACCCACACAGGAGTGTGTTACACAGTGCCCCCTATTGGAAGTGTATAATTGATCATGCTGCACACCAGAAAGAGTAATTCTGATTTTCTTTTAAAATTCAAACAATACAGCAAAGGCTGCATGCCATCACACAGTGTGACATATATACAAGTGGGTTAATGCAGTTAATGCTGCATCACAGTCAGCATACAGCACTGCTGCACCTTTGCTCTGTCAGCTGAACACAGACACAACACTTAGGCTAATATCAAAATGAGACATTTGCAATTCCACACATTGATTAAGAGAAGACCAGTATTTCTACACCGAACTCCTTTCTAAGACATATGGGCGATTAAATGATGTGCACTACACAAAAACAGAAAATTATTGAGCTTATAAGATAACATCGCCTCATCAGTCTCCAAACTGATCAATTCAGTAATATCTGCCACTGCAGTGAGGACAAGCTGGGAGGGCTATGAGGGAGAGAAACAAATATGCTTTGTGCAAGAAAGGTACAATTTTGTAATACATGCAACAGCCATGCCTCCAGCTCCCATCCACAGTGTGTTTATCACAGGCTTTGAGCCTGGAAGATACAATAATTACACTGCGAAGTGCCTTTGAATCAAACCTGTCCCTTGGCCCAGACATGACCCTAAAACAACAGTAGCTCATGAGCACAAACACTGACCTTATGTCAAGGTGAAACAGTGTGATGAAGCATTTTAATCAGGAGGTTTTGTATTTTATAGCTTTTTTATGGTGCAGTATTTTAACCCATAAGACTACATTTTTGCATCACACAAAACAAAAGTCACATTTTATTTTTAGCACATTTGTTCCACTAACACATTCTCTCGAATCTGCGCCACTGAACCAAGCAAAAAGACTTTATGAATTAAACACAAAATTGTACTTCACAATACATACAGGTAGTCATTAGGACTATGTCTATGTCTGAGAGAGAGAGAGAGAGAGAGAGAGAGAGAGAGAGAGAGAGAGGGAGAGGGAGAAGGTGGGTTGAATGGTGAAGCTGGACGCCAGATGATTTTTGATAGTTCTGGCTGACTTTTCATTTTCGTCACAGTCACCTTTAAAATATTTTTTTTCTGTGCTCTTACTGACAGGACTAACATGCAAAACAAACTGTTGAATCAAACGGACTGCATGCCACTGTGTCTCAAATCTGTTGAGAGGCATTAAAACATCCACTTTTTGCTTTTATTCCCTACGATCAAAATCTGGTACAAATATGAAGATGATGCTGCGAAAAAAAAAATCCTAATGACAACACAATAACCATGAGCGGTATTTCCGTATAATCCCATTCCTGTCGGACTAAATGTACAACACCAAATATCCTCTAAAACATCTCAAAACGAACAGGTTCCCGATTATTTAAAAAAAAATGTAATTGTTTTATAATTATAAAACGCACATTCACTATCAATTAATACCGTTAATTCTGAAGTTAATAATTTGAACAACCATGCATTTTAAGTCACACTAATATAAACTATATTCTTTCACGGTGAAATAACGGCACAGTCGCAGGCCTGTAAAGGCAAAGTTAAAAAGCAACTTACTGCAGCAGCTCTCAGCTCCGCACCACCCGACTACACAGTCCGGAGAAAGGTACTGCATCCTCACTGCCACAAAGCCCTTTCTTCCTCAGATAAGGGGAAGCCAGCAGCTGCGATTCCGGACAGTTAAGATTATATATGATGTGTATATATCGAAGGTTTGTCAGCTCTTCCAGGCCATAAAACCCACTTAAATGACACCACGTGCTTCCTATGCACCATTCACAGGCCCTGCTTGGGGCAATTGGCATATGTAACCTTGTAAACTTTAAAATACCCTAAAAGAAAGACATACAAAAAGGGATTCAATACATTGTCCATGTATAGGATAGGCCTAACAGAGCGCAGAGAAAGTGGACGCTGCGCTGACCGGTTCTCAAAACCGTCAAGGAAGTTGAATAGGAAGCTATTAGTTTGAGAGGTGAGTTGATTTTTATTTTCTTTAAGTAGTGCTATAGAGAAATTACCTCCTAACCTTGGGCTATACTGCGTCATACTACTACTTCTACAAAAGCTGCTGCCGAATACAGACACCCAGCAACTGGCATGGTTTTATGTCCTCTATAGTAGCAGATAGTGTTGATTTAACTACAGTGTAATGATGCCAGGATTAAAGAGCAGGGCGATATCATAAAGTCGCCATATGGCCTCGACAGTGATGGCGCGTCAGTCTGTGGCCACAGGAAGCCAAAGTTTTGCATCCACGTTGTGTTGTGGGCGAGTGTTATCACAGGCTAGTGTGTCCCTTCCTTCCCTGACCAAACAGGAAACGGAGTCTGCCTGTGGTGGAGTGGTGGAAAAGGGGCAATAAAGTTTTATGAGGGCCTTAAACTTCAGAGCGCATTTGTCAGTCAATGAAATTCTGTGGATTCCGAGCCAGACTTAAAACGTGATCAGGAGGACAAAACAAAGGAGAAGTAGGGGGGTGGGGGGTGGAATACAATTTCTATAGTGGTTTAATTCATTAGACTTAAAGCACAAAAGTAATTAAATATGCGTGAGCTGTGTGAGTCCGCAACAAACCCCTTATATGTCAGAAAAATAACAGAAATGTTCATAGTGTAGTATTTTCCTTACTTTTAATGATGAGACTTTATTGGTTACAATCAACAATTAAGCCATCCTTTCAGTTATCCCAGACCTTGTGTAAACCAGGCACCTTAAAGTTTACAAAGGGGCAATAGAAATGGCTTCATTGCACATCACAATATTATCACATACAGTCGCTGAATTATACACAATGATTTAGATTCACATATGACAGACAACATGGACGATGCCTTTGACAGAAATCCACTCACAAACATATTAGCTCACTGGACACATCACACATCCGACCACGGCCTAACGTTTTTGCACTGCGACATTAATTTGAAAAAGAAAAGGAAAGAGGTGGGAAAGGTAGTTTTTACAAGTGGAAAAAAAAACTATTCAACTGATTTCCAAAGGAGTTAGAAATAGTTCAGCCTTTATTTGATTCCGACCTTGAAGTTTTATCACATGACGATGATATAGAGTTGGACATGATGCAGGCTGTCACCCAGCCTCCACTACTTTTATCCTAATTAAAAAACATAGATTATTAGTAGCATTGTGCAGCCTTTCAGTGCACTGCAGAGCAAAGCTTTGCAGCGTGAAGGACCCCAGCTCCCCTCAACCTCGTGTCCCCTTCGTGCAGTAAAGTGAGGTTATCATCGCATGGGCAGCAAATTAATTTAGAAATGTAAACCGATTGATCAAAGTGAGTGATATTCAATACATTAGGTCCCAAACTGCAGCAAGTGACACATAATTGGTGATGAAGCACACAGAGCGGTGTCATGATGTCATTGCTCCTAGCAGTTCATCCGGAGGTCAGGCGGCACTCCTGCACTGTGCAGTGTGGGGCTGAAAACGTGCTGCATGCACCCCGTTCACTGGTGCACTTTTACTCCTTCACTTTGATCTTTGAGTCCTTCTTCCACTTCATTCGTCTGTTCTGGAACCAGATTTTGATCTGCCTCTCGTTTAGACACAGGGTGTGGGCGATCTCTACGCGCCTGCGGCGGCTCAGGTACCGGTTGAAGTGAAACTCTTTCTCCAGCTCCAGAGTCTGGTAGCGGGTGTAACTGGTCCTGGACCGCTTACCCTCCGATTCTGAAGTGGTATTAAAATCAGTTAGCTTTCAGCAGCATTATAGAGGTAAATAAATAGAATAATAGGCTAATAATATTATTACACTATGAAAAAATCCTGGTTAGCCATAAAAATAAGCATTAAAAGCACAAATCTATGAATTTATGTCCCCTTACATTCTCGTTTAAAAGATCAAATATCTTTATATAACCTAATTTAACCTGATATTACTTACTGTGGATTTGTGTAATAAAATTTTATGTCAGCCTGATAAGGATGGTTAACTAGATCTAATAAATATACTAGGAGGGCCCTCTACACCCATTCACATTAAAACATAAAAAATACACAAGACTATTACTAAAGGAATCTTATCTTGTTGTAATATGTAAAAATGGCATAACTAATAATGCTATGGCCTCCCTGTAAACACTGGCCTCGGCCTAATACCGCTGCACAGGAGTGATAATATCGTGGGAGGAAAAACAGATGTGTAAAATCGAAAGAAGTGGGATTAGAAAATGGAAACTGATGTTTTCCAGATATATTTCCCTATTTATAGACTTGCTCGTGCACGGGCGTGCTAAGTAAAGCAACAGGCCTTTGCTATTGGACAAAAATATATTTTTTATCATCTCCACTGTGTGCTCCTGGCTATTTGCATACCACAAAACAAGAATAGCTTCTTTTTTTGCAGCAAATGTTGCTCACTGTCCATCTGCAGCCAGTGGTTCCAGGGCATAGAGAAGGAGCACGCCTATTCAGATCTTTTAGAGGTGAAAAGTTCATGATTGGGTCAGGGCATTGGTGTTTCCCAGAGTTCAATTTAAGGCTAAAGCTTCTCCCACACATAGTCTGATCATGTAAAGCATGTAGCTTGACTAAGACTATAAACGAAGCAAAGGCAAAACACTAATACTTTGAGCTGAATTTGTAAATATTATTTCATAGTTGTATCACAGTTTGGTTCTTTTATCCAATTATACCTCCATAAATCACCCCACAGATCACCTCTTCACCGTAACAGAGCAGGTTTACGAGCAATGGATGCCTTTGTCATAAAATTTATGACCGCGAGTTTTTATTATTTCCTGCGTTTGGCCTATAAAACTCAAGAGGGAAACTGGAACGGGCGAAAAGAAGTGTTGCAGCGTAAAGAGTGAATAAGGGAAAGCATCTCAGTCGCACTTTAGAAAATAGGCAAACTTTACCGTGGCTCATGTGCAGTTTTGTCATCCATGGATAAATCTGTGGCCGCTGCTCACTGTCCTGCCGCTGGCTCACTTTTGTGTTTCGTTTCATCGTTTGCGTGTTCTCCGCGTTTCTCTCGCCCTCCTGGCTCTTGTTGCCGCCGGGTTTTGTGCTCCTCTCCGGGTCTATGTCTGCCCCTAGTCCCAGCAGCGTGCTGCTGCCGTAGTTGAGCCCGCTGGCATCCACGGACGAGCTACTGGAGACCATCGTTATCTGTGGTCCTGACGGGAGAGGAGTATCCGTATTGCCACGCAGGCTAGTTTTCATCTCCTCCCGTTCAACAGAGGTCGTGGGGACGGGACAAGTGAATATCCCGTTCACATTAACACCCTCATAACGGTTGGACCTGCGCCCAGATAGATCGAAACTAAACATAGTGTTAGGAGAAGTTGTCTCGCTTGTTTGCCTGAGATTGGAGCTGTCAACATAAGAGCTCATTTTTAACTATCACCGACACTTTCTTTTCAAAGTAGAGAGGGCTGCGGGGCGTATGTTGCGGCTATTTCCTTGTTTTTGTTGATCATTGCTTTTCTTTGTAGCCGCTTTTGGAAAATTCTGAGCTGTCTGCCCTAAAAAAATAATCCAGGATTTATAGGTGGAGTAGGCTTTGGTATCTTTTTTTTAATTCTTGATCCGACGTGCGCTGCCCAAATATGGGGTATTTGTATGGGATCACGTGCACATGTTGGCCAGTCATAAATTGGCTTTGATACTCAATGGGGATATTGATGAATAGGAGAAACGTGTCCGGTAAACTTTGAGCTGTTGGTTGTTGAGGACCAGGCAGAGATCTTTAGCGCAAAAAGGGCAGGACAGTAAGACAAGAGCGTCATCTGGTGTCTGGTATGGGGCAGGACGGTCAAGACCGGCCAGAGCTCTCTGCCCCTGACACACAGCGAGTCCACAAACAGTCCCATATAATAATAATAATAACAACAAAAATAATAATATAATATATAATAACAATATTATTATATAAAAGTGAGGATTTAAAGTGCCCACTTGATTAAAATACATTTACGCATATGGACTTCGCTGGTTATGTTATGTTATAGTAATACAGCTACGGGAATGTTATAGTGTTTAACAGGATATTGGACAATAGCTCATTCCCGTGCTCCTATGATGTCAATCACAAAGTTGAAATTTAGTTTGAATTTTAATATTTAAGAAGCCAAAATTAGCTTTAAAATGACCTAATTAGCCTGTTTGTTGCCCACCTGCCTTTACAGCCCCTGCTGACCATAAAGGTCATGATAATAAAAATCTTAATGCAATAATAAGCCTCTACAATCACGCACTAAGTTTGGTGCGTATTTTAGGAAACCTTTCTTTGTACGGTTTTCTGACTCATCAGAAAGAAGCATACAAAGCTCCCAAAAACACAATACGAGGGTGAAAGTTTTACAAATATTTTATTCCATGATACACAATTATGACAAAACATGAATTCGTAACTCCCAAACAAATGTGAAGAATTACTAGTGTACAAATCTATCTCACAAGGGAAGCCTATTGTGTCAAATGATCAAAAAAGGGGGCTAAGCGCAATATTATGTTATGCAGCGTCTATCAAAGCGGCTAAATGCACATAAGTCCTCACAAGATTGACATAATATATACTGTTACTTTGATTATATACAGGCATTTCAGTCGTGTGTGTTTGTGGACTGTAGTCTATTATCCGTGCAACTTTCATGATTATGCAGGACACTTTTTCTGCGGACGATTCAAGTAGATTATACTGAGATCAAACGAAGTGTCCGTCCGTTTCTTTCCTTCCGTGGAATGTGCATTTACAATACTGAGTTAAGTCTGACCAACACTGTATTTTGTGAGGTGATCAAAGGGTTCACAGTGATGCATGGGGTGTGTGGGGATAAATACATAGATTTTTTACTGGCGTGGGAAATAACATAGAAATTAATACTTCTTTTTATTTTCACAATACATGTGTGACATTGCAATAAAAAAATCAGCGCTCCAAATGTCACAGGGGCCATTCTGTGGCTGAAATAATTTGGATTTCTAAGGCTTAACACTCCTGTGGTCAACATGGGATATAAGTGGGAGAGCTGCGGGGTAGCCATCATGCAGTGAAGTCGCTCTCAAGTCCATGTAGATTTTTTTAGGTAGTTATGTTGGGTTTTTAATGGTCGTCAGGTGTTTGTTTCCCTCCTCTTCCTCTTTTTAAAACTATTCTTTCTTCTTGTCCTCATCCTTCTCTTCTTCCAATGCGCCATTGCGTTCCTCCTGTCCCTCTTGAGAGGCTCCTGTCTGTTCACTTCCAGTCACCGTGGAGGTCAGGTTGCTCTCTTTCTTCCATTTCATGCGTCGGTTCTGAAACCAGATTTTGATCTGCCGCTCTGTTAAACAAAGCGCATTTGCGATTTCAATGCGTCTGCGCCTGGTCAGGTAGCGGTTGAAATGAAACTCCTTCTCCAGCTCAAGTGTTTGATAACGAGAGTATATCTGACGTCCCCTGCGTCTGTCTGTCCCGTAGCCCACTCCTGCTGAGATACAAAGTGAAGACACTAATTTAATCATTTGTAAGGCGAAGTCACATTTGACATTAAAAATTAAAAAACATGCTTCTGTCTGTGGTCTAGTAATACTTTGAGGCAGTTGAGCATAAGTTTCACCTCTTTGCTATGAATGATTATTGTAATCCAAATCCACAAAGAAAAATAAACACATTTTAACTGCAAGACAAATCCCATCTCAGAGGGCATCTTTGCATCTGTTATCTAAAATAATGAAAGCATCATAATATATTCTCTTTGCCTCACACTACTGATTATGGCTACTATATCTGTCTTAAAATGAAAGCTGTTTGTTTGCACATGCAAAGGCCCATCTACAGGTCGAGGGGATACAGTAATGTTTTATGGGGCCATAAAAAGTAACTTACTCTCTTGGTAAGACATATCGTAAAACTGGCCCATTTCCTTAATTTATTTGTCGTAGTAAAACTCACCGCTGTGTGAGTTCATTCGCTGCATCCACGGGTAGATCGGGATGTTGCTTTTCTGATCCTGCGCTCCTGCTCTTCCTTGATCCAAACTGTACTCTTGAGCAATGTGGCTTTGTGTATTGAGTCCCATGTTTGTTTGTCTGCAACTGGGGAGCACGTCCTTGTCTTGAAGAAACACGTTTGATCCATATTCATACTGTGCCCTGCCAGACCCAAAAACGACATTATCTTGAGGAGAGTAGAAAGGTGCATATATCCGATTCTGGGTCACAGCAGCACCGTACGACGAAAAATGTCTGACTGTGTCATAGGTGGTGGAGTTTAGGGGTACGTTAGGCAAAACATCTTGACCACCGGATAAATGGCAGGAGAGCGACGGGTTTGCGAAATAAGAATTCATACCTTGCTTGTAACCCTCTCTCCAACTCTCCCCACTTCTTTATCGGTCTCTTTTCAATCTCCTTCTCAGTAAATCTCCTTCCCCGTCTGTGTCAACCAACCACACCTTTCTCCAAGGTCTTCTCTTTTTTTCTCGACTTTCTGCCTCTCTAACTGGACGTGGGCTACTTTGAGGATTCAATATTATTAATTTCCAATCTCCGGTTAAGACGCACAAACCCGAGTGTTATAGCCGAGGCTTGGCTCGGTGAGAGACAATATGACAATGTCAGCTGACCATTCTCCACCAATTGAGAGGCAGGAGTTGAAGAGAAACTGTAGCTTTTAGCTCAGAGCTTGAACATTAGTGCTAAATGCCGATAAACACAACGTAGAGTTGGAGTGGCACACTGTACAGCTTGGCTGGATGAGACATTTTTGACTTGAAGTTTAAGAGAATGCGGTTTTTAGAGAGGAAGTATGATACAAAATGTGGACAATGTCAGTCAGTACAGTGATACAGTCAAAGAAAGGCGGAAATCTGCATACAAATACACGTGAACTCAACTCTAAATGTGTCTTAAAGAGTGCAATTCAGGAAATTGCCTATTAATTTAATTTACTGAGATATGAGGGGAAAACATTTCCTGTGATACTGAGTTCTTGTGGTGGTGTGTGTGTGTTTGTGGTGGGTTGTGTGTGTGTGTATGTGTGTGTGTGTGTGTGTGTGTGTGTGTGTGTGTGTGTGTGTGTGCGTGCGTGCGTGTGTGTGTGTGCTTCCAAAACTCAGTTTTAATTTCACAACACACTGCAGAGATGGACAACAATATCTACATACTCTCACCCCGCAGGACGCACAGCCTTTGTATAAAGACTACAATGAATATCTGCATTATATTGTTAATCTGAGCCATGTCGGCGAGTTTCCAACATACTGTTAATGTTTCCATTGTGTATGAATTATCTGGCGTGTGAGCAATTTCTATGCGTTTGCAGTGAACTGGGGGAGGGTGTAGGTGGTAAGAATGCGTTTATGGTCTCTCTTCTGCGAGGGCAATAAAACAAGTGACGTTCCCCAGCTCACCAACAACTATCTCTGCAGCAAAGCCCTGCAACACGAGCAGCAGTCTCCCAGGCTCAGAAATGAAAGCACTGCACAGCATGTGGAGGCACAAAGCAAAGGGAAATAGCTTGTCTAGGTCCGGCCGACTAGTAAAGAACTGCGTCTAAGAAGAACATTTCTACCACTCTCTGAAAAATCCAATCAGTTATGCGACTGTCCAGCACACGTCAGACAAAATCCTCCACAGGCCAACTGTGCCCGGTGTTCTCTAGGAGCTGATTGCTCTCAGGTACAGTCTCTTTCACTCATAGCAATAAAGAGTATGCTTTTTACATTTTACGCACAAAAGTTACAGCTGAATTACAGTAAAATGCAATGTGTAAAATGCTTATGCAGATGTTCCAGTTTTTTTTTTTCCTGTTCTGATCATACTTCGACATTCCTCAGACACACATGGAGGAAAGAGGAACCGATAATTATCTCAGCAGCAAATTATGGGTTTGGAAATTACTTTAGAGGTGTTCTGCAAAAATCTAGCAAAACTTAACTGCCTGTCTGGGTGAAGTGTGCTGCCCCTGAATGCGTAAAATCAACTATAATGATATAGAAGTGACCAGTTTCTCTCACTCTCAGCTTTCTGTAATCAACATAATAAAATTACTTTTTTGTATAGACGATGGAAGCGCATGTTTATGTACCACCGGCATTTTATTATCAAAAATCAAGCGCGTTTGAACAGAATAAAACTCCACACATTAATTTGAAACAATATAATTCACATTATCTTGGCTTTTTCGCAACAGGCCATAATAGATACCAATAAAATAATCAATACAGTTATTGAAAATGTCTGTTCAAGCGCAGTCGCTCTGGCTGCAGCAGCCTATTGGTCCACCTCATTGATTTCTTCAATAGGGTGAATACTTGCAGACTAAACGTGCAACACTGTTTGGTCTGTTGTTTGGGGTCCTGAATAGCCCATAAAAGAGACAAGAACAAAGAGAAGGAAGTAGCTGGTGCAATAAAAGTTCCCCTTCACCTTATTCGTGGCCATATGTGACATCCGCGTAGCACAAATTTGAGGCAAAAAAAGGGCAAAAGTTGGAGACTGTAATGTCTCGCAAATGCTGTCCTGGGATTATTTTTCCTCCTCACTTTGATATTAAGTAACGAATCAGTTGACGATGGGATTGAACAAACATAAAGCAGCAAGAGAGGAACAATTTATATCATTTTCAACCGACAGAGGGGTTATTGTTGATGAAGAGCAAACATAAGGAATTACAGAAAACATAAAAAGTGTTTTCAACACTGTAACTATAACATGAAATTTAAATTCAAATAATAGAAGCCCAAAATGTAATAAATGTGCTGTTTGATAGTCCGTAATACTTCCTTCATTTGTCATGCTCACGGTGTCAGAGACAGCATGTGTACACGGTGTGTTTCATTTGTTTCAAGTCTTTGTTTTCATTTATAACAATTTCTGTTGTTGTCACCGGGCAGTTGTTATAATTTAGTCCTTTTAAAAAAAGCTTTTGGATTTAATAGAACTTTTAATGGCTTTATATGAACTAAAATTATATGAAAATTATTTGGGTTTCAAAACACATATTTTCCCTTAATTGTTATTCACAACCCACCCACCCACCCCCCTAAAAAACAGGCTGGTCCATAAAGTTTAGGTTGTAAATAAAGGCTGAACACTAAAGGCAATGTGTGGACTGGAGAGGCTGGAATGCAGCAGAGGCTGAGTCAGTGTGCAGAATTAGAAAGGTCATTCTTTCCCCTGTGTTTTAGTGTTTTATTGCGGCCCGTGAGGCAAATCACATGCGCGGCTTTTGATGCAGGGAGGAAAGAAGCCGTTTGGTGCACGTTTCTACAATCTTTAAAAGGAAATTGTGTCCAGCGATGAACGATTGAGAACCAGGAAGATCTAAGACGAAAACACTAAATTATTAACAAAAGCCTGGTACCAAATACTAACCGTGGATATTAATACCTAGCATTAATAATTAATTAATGAATAGTATATGCTCTTAATTTGTAGTTAGTTATCTACGGTGAATGCGCATTGGAGGCTGAGCGTGATGGGGATAGATCATGCGTAACATGATTATTATCATTATTATTATATTATCATTATTATTATTTTTATTATGTTTGTCGGGTTTATAAGATTATCATGCCGGATCGGTTTTAAATTCACACTTTAATTTGTTATTCTGCTGAGGGCCTAACTTTGACAACCTGCTCTCCTGCGACACAACCAGGGCCCATGCACGTCCATGGCTTCTCTTCTGCATGCCTATAGATGCATCATCAATATCCAACACCACAACATCGCTCAGTATTAGTTATATGGGATCTGTAAAATTTCTACATTATCAGCCATGATTAAAAACACAGCGAGGGAGGAAAAGTCTGGTCAGTCCCTGATGCTTTTTCCTCTCCCCCGCTTCTAACCTTACTAATAAGGAGTAATTCACATACTAACAATGTAAAGCCCTCTATAAGCACTTTACCATCGCTGGCTAGCCCAATTAATGTCCGGAAGTGTTCGACTTTATGCTCGTTAAGCACTCAGGAAGCTGTTGCCCAATGAGCGCATGTTGATCCACACATCATAAATTATGACCATTAGTAGGCAAAATTTTTGCCCTGTCGGGATTTGTAAGTGAGGTTCTAAATGTGGTGATGCGGACAGATTCATGACTTCATGGAGTTTTATGCGAACCCATCTCTGGTTTTAAAAACACTGCAGGGCAAAACAATAGACTGTGGTTTTCCCCTCTTATTTTAAACCAAGATTTACCTAACAACCCAAATGGCATGTATTAAATGGACTCTCTCCCTCTTTCCCTTTTCTTTTTCCCTCCCTCTCTCTCTCTCTCTCTTTGCAGGCATATTGGGCTGCAGCGGACACGATCCATTGCAACACCAATGTTTCATAAGGGAAAAGCAAACAACGTGTGTAACAGTAGGTTATAAGACTTTAAAGGCTTCCACAACGAGGCTTTGCTAATAATTGTATTTTACAAGATTGAAACGCAGGACGGCTGTGTTTCAGCGGGGAGACAGAAACACATGAAATCACTTTATAACTAAATAAAATATGTTATTGTCTCTGAACAGACAATAATAAAACACAGAGGGAGCTTTTCACCAAGCTGAGCTTTGATAAAAACAAACGCTTTCAACTTTACAGGCACACAAAAACTACTGCTGTCAGAGTCTCTCTCTCTCTATCTCTCTCTCTCTCTCTCTCTCTCTCTCTCACACACACACACACACACACACACACACACACACACACAACACACATAAACACTACTTAAGATGCCTTTGAATAGGTAAACTACTTCGTTTTGGAGTGCAAAAGCCAATTTAGTTACCAATTTAGCTTTCAATTTAGATTTCATTTTTGGTTTCTCTCTCTCACACACACACACACACACACACACACACACACACACACACACACACACACATAAACACTACTTAAAATGCCTTTGAATAGGTAAACTACTTCGTTTTGGAGTGCAAAAGCCAGTTTAGTTACCAATTTAGCTTTCAATTTAGATTTCATTTTTGGTTTCTCTCTCTCACAAACACAGACACACACAGACACACACACACACACACACACACACACACACAGAGAGAGAGAGAGAGAGAGAGAGAGAGAGGGAGAGAGAGAGAGAGAGAGCCACACAGACGTATAAAGCTGGTTTTCAGCCCATCTATGAAATGTTCAAAATCCTGCAAATATTTCGATATTAATATGGATTACATGGATTTTTCCCACTCTTTTTTTTGAATGAAATTGAACTGGAGTGTATTTGCTCACACATTGTTACCATTCATGTATGATTCACTATACGCAGTTCACTTGTGCTGCCCAATTCACAACATCCTGTTCATAATGTCAAAATTAACACTGTTATTGCTGCTGGATTCGATGATAATGAGGTCTGTAATGATTTGTTTTGCTCATGGTGTAAATAAAATCTAATGCCACTTCTCACAGTGTCGTCAGTGATTATGTCACAGAGCAACATCTCATAACAAATCACTGCATCTCATTATATCTGGAAGAAAAAGAAAAAAAAAAAACTGGAAACAACAATGACACAGACAAATGCCTCATTCTCCGAGAGGGTGACAACAACACATCAGACACTCAGAAACACTCCTCGGTGTCAGCTCGTGCGGTTACTCACTGGCAGCAGTGTATCAGCTGGGTCAGCTGACATCCGCAGTGAACCGCCGCCGACAAACCAGCAGCCATAAACAACCAGCCTCAACACCCGCCCACTTCCACATGCAACCCTTCTGATCGCTAGGGGGCAGTGCCGGGATCCACAATGTGTACATACTGAAGCCTGTGTTTCGTATGTCGTCTGTGTGTGTGTGTGTGTGTGTGTGTGTGTGTGTGTGTGTGTGTGTGTGTGTGTGTGTGTGTGTGTGTGTTTGTGCGTGCGCGTGTGTTGAAACTGCTTATGTTATTCAAGCTCTTGGCACAGACTGAATATAACAAGTGACAACAAGTATGGAAACAAGAAATAATTAGAGCACATCAACCAGCTTTGAATGCAATTTGTCACTGCCTGGTCAGAAGGGCCTATGAGTGATGACAAAGTTTACTATCAGTGGGCAATTTATTGCAACAGACTGGCACAGCAGCTCTGAAATGCTCAGCTAATGTCGGCTAAAGCGGCCAGTGTGCACACAGGTGCTGCTACACCAGCCAGGAAGGTATAATGGCTATGTAATGAATGTCGCTCTGGGCATCAGCAGCTTCCCAGGCTACAGGTCAGGTCACAACTACAGAGAATACACGCATCAACCTTCTCATGATCTCACTCACACACACATACACACACACACACACACACACACTCCTCTGCATCATTCATCATTTCAATCCAGCAACCACCGGCTGATGGCCAAACACAACAAAAAAACACAGAGAAAGAGGGATTGAGATGTATGTAATCTTACCCCAGCGGGCTCTCCGTAGTTTGTAGCTTCACTGTGGTCCAACACAGCAGCTGAGGGGTCACGAGTGGGAAATATCAACACAGCGCACGTCTCTCCCGTTTACTGCTGGCTGTCTTCACATCCTGTCGACAAGTAGCTTGTGGAAGCAGAGGCTTGTATGTTTGCCGGGAGAAGTCTTTTCTAAGCAGGCTTGCTTGCTCCCTTTCCCCCCCCTATCCAGACGCGGCTTTATTGCCTCCGGTAGGGATAAACGCAGGCAGCGGCTGGTAGAGGCGGCGACTGTCCCGAAGATCCCTCTGTCAGGAAGTCGGAGATCGGATGAATATCACACAAAGCAGCGCCAACACGACTGTGCAGTGTTTTTTATATTAGGGAAAAAAATGGTAAAAAAGACGTTTCTACGCCCCAGCGTAGTCTGCTGCTGATACAAGGGAAGGACCAGAGAATAGACAACAGCATAAAGTTCATGTTCATAGAGCGTGTGCCACGTGGCTCGCTGCAGCCAATCGCAGAAAGGATTCAGTCGTAAACTTTTATTACTCAGCTGTAAATTTCTCCCTTTAACAACCAGGAATGTTTGCACCCATCTTTTCCCTTTCTTTTTTTCGATTGCACAAAACTAAAAATGGCCACACGACGTGGAGAGCGATGCTGAAATTTCCCCATATGTCACAAATTAGACGTGCGTCAAAAAAAATATGACACTTCCCCTGGTGGACAAGCTGTATGCCATGATGTACTCAGAGCCAACGGGAAATGGGAAATAAAAAAAGTGTGAGTGAAAAAAGAGAGGGAGGGTAGACAGGAAAAGAGACAGGGAGAGAGGAGAATAGGAGAGACATGGTGCGAGAGAGAGGGAGAGACGTCTAATAAACTTCAATTAGGCCAAACTACACTTTGATATCAGGGCCTGTCTCACTGGCTAATTCTCAGGATTACATGGCAGTAAGCACTTGTCAGGTTTCACTGTTCACACCCAACCACAACTAGATGTTCCAGGTGCATGTATAATACGAATATGATGTCAAAATTAACTAACTGGCTTCAGGGTATCTTCGTTTGTTTGTTTTTTTTTAAACTTGAAAAGCAGGGAAGGTGGGGTTTGAGAACACAGAGAACATACACACCACAGCAGCTATCCAACAACCTTATGACAAGGCACCAACATACACTGTAAATCTGGTTCAAACTTTCAACTAGGATCTATGACACAGAGAAGGAAAAGATGGCGCGTTGGAAAATACGGACATAAATGTATCTGTACATCTATAGAAAAAACATGCTGCAACCACTGGGTTGTTGCTTCACCTTCAACAAATGTATTGCATCGAATTACAGCTAATATATAAATTTAGATGTAACAATACAATAGAAGAGAAATCAGTGAATTTGAGCCCAACACGCATGTTTTTTTTCTCGTAAATCCCACTAAAGCAAGAGCTCTCGCTTTAAAAAAAATAAATAAATAAGGAATTATCGCATGCAGTCTCGGGTACAAATAAAATAAATTCCCTCACAACCAAATAATTAAAGAATTTTGTGCTACATACTTGGATGAGAGGTGCATCTTGTTCTTGCAGGCCGTGATCTCCACACTGAGCCTCGGCACACAGACACAAAAGATGCAGACCCATCCCAGCCGTGCCTTTACACCGCCAATAAAGTTTACAGCAGGTACACTAAACTTTATTGGTAATGTCAACCCTCTGCTAAAAGTACACACACACACACACAATTGACCCATTCGTGGTGCACAATAGCTGTGACTTGGAGACACATCCGGAATTTTCTAAAGACTACACGCACGCAAAGAGAGAAATAAACACCCTGGATGAAAGGGCTGCGCTCTGACGCAACATTGTTTCATTCAGAAAAATATAAGGCACTATTGCAAAAGTTGACACTAATTTGGTTTTGTGGAATCAGCCTGGACTTGGATTTTAAAAATATACAGTGAATTTAAAAAGCAATGCAGACAAATCCACCTTTTTGTTACAAAGATAAAATTTAACACTGTGCTTTCGATCAGTTTCATTCGTTAGGCTCCACTATACAACTTCCCCAGTCACACTGAATACATGCTGCACTGTTATTGTTTATCTTCACAAGTTTGTTTTATTGAATAAAATAAAAAATGTATATTAAGAAACAGCTATCAATTGGAGAAAGTCGTGCGACTTTATTTTTTTTCCTGTGTCCCAGAAAATGCATGATTACATTTAGGCCTTTATTTACCAAATCCCACAATCTCCCTTAAAGCTACAAAAAAAAAATTCAAGACAAGCCCAATAACAAACAAACAACAACAACAACAAATCCTTTGAGAATGAATAGTCTCCTAACACTCACACCTTACAGTAGCCTCCACGGTAAAGTATTTGCATCAACAGTGTCTCATATACACATCGAATAGAGATCCCTTCAGCTTATTCAAATAGTCTATAACTGAGCGGATAAAAAGCAGACAGGCTAGACGCACCAGGAGTTTTGAATAATTTAGCTGCATGACAATGAAACAACTACACGGCACTGTTAACTATCTGTGTGCTTCCAATGAGTTGTAAAAAATATAATAAAATGTTAAAGAAACACCGGAAACGCAGTCTGTTATTGGCCTTCAAATTAAAAACACAGAGAGTCTTTCAGTAGAAATGCGGGTGAAATTCTGTTGTAAACAGTAGGTGGAAAAGGAGCAGGTCAAATTACATGTGTTGGAAAAGAAGGATCAGATTTCTGTTCTGTTCTTATAATCGAACGAGAACTGGTGTTTTTATAAATTGTAGCAGCACTTCAATTGACTTACACTGCCATGTCGTTTGAGTAATATTGTAGTGTTTGTGCTACTTCAGTGATACTCAGATGCGGACTGCTTATACCCTCCATTTATTCCAAACCATCATCATAAAAACAGCAGCAGGACACGGGGAAGAGGAGACACAAGGTGTTACCTGCACTTGGCCTCTTATTCGCTTTGATTTCAACGCTCTGCTGGTTTCCGGAGGTTTGTCTGGACACCAGGTTTCACACATCACCTTGCATGGTATAGACAGACAAACGCCTCCCTCATGCTTTGGCATTATTTCGTCTGATTATTAACATCACGCCAGATGTTTGTTCATCTCATCTCAAACAGCCATTATTCATCCCAAGATTCATTAAGAAAAGCTTCGCGTCCTCCCTGAAGAGAGGAAGTTTCTTATTAAGAGGATGAATCAAATACGACTCAGGCTTTGGAGAGTACGCACGCTGTGAAAGGGATGCGCAACCTTTCCTTAAAAGGTAAAAGGATACGTCTGCAAACGCGTGGCTGGCGTTTTTATGTTAATCGAACAAGTTGGAAAGTTTAAATTAGGCAAAGTTTAGTCAAGAGGCTATTCAATATGCTTTTACGCCTCCTCCTCCTCCTCCTCCTCCTCCTCCTCCTCCTCCTCTCCCCTCCTGCCGCTGCCAGGAAATATTTTTGGGCATATGGGCTGAAAATCAAAGCATCATCAAAACATCAACATGGATGCTTGTTTATCCATTTCCTCATTGAATTGTTTTGGTTATTTGTATGAAATTACTTCTGGAGGCGTTCCGATATGAAAACTGAAGGGTGAGCTCTGAACGCTACCACAGCATCCCAAAGTGTAAAACTCGTTACAGAGAAAAGCAGTGGCAAGTGGCAAAAAGGTAATAGTAAGATGAATCTGTTACACTTGTCTGTATGTGCGCCTCATTCTTCTGTATCTGTATGTGTGTGTGTGTGTGTGTGTGTGTGTGTGTGTGTGTGTGTGTGTGTGTGTGTGTGTGTGTGTGTGTGTTTGGGTTGGGGGGGTGAAGAGGGAGTCATTTTAGCAACCGAGGCTGTAACATCAATAAAAAAACAGAAATGATTGTGAGCCATCTTGTTTATTTGTGATTTTACATCAACAATGGCGGGGACACACAATTCCGTCTTTCACAGGAGAAAACACCAGGAAACGAGCATATTGTTAACATCAATATAACAAGACGTACATAAAGATTATATTCAGTGCAAAACAACTACGCTATATCACCAGCACATTAAAATAAAAACTCCCTTTACTTTAAAATCGTTGTAATTGTAGCAGGTATTATCATACACAGTAAATGTGCGTTATAGGCAGTTTTAGTTGTTGGGGAAATAGCTTGCAATCAAATCAGAGCGATGCCACAAGTGAGGAATATAAATTCAGCAAAGGCAAGGCTCTGAGTTTAGGTAGTGCCGTGGTACAATCTCAAAATTGTTTGCTTGGCTTTGAGCTAATTGTCTTCCCAAGACTCACAAATTGTCTTCAACAAGTGTATATTGTATATTGGGTAAATGCTACATACATAACTTAATAATATAAGGATGATATAGAACACTTTAAAAATTAAAACCATATGAAATCTCTATATTCAGAAATCTCTATTGCAATTTCCCCAGGTTTAGGTAGCATCAAAGGATTTCAAACGATTGCATTTCCCTGGTAATCCTAGAAAAAGATGTCTGAGGAGCTAATGGCTATCTTTGTCTAGGCCATTCACATGAAAACGAGTAAAACAGTAACAGTAACAATTAGAATAATAAAACTTGTGGTTTATACATGGGCCGTTAGCCAATGTAACTGCTGCGATGATGTCTGAACACTCACTACTAAGTTATAGGCCTACATTTCGCTTACAAGTTCGGAAAGGATACTCTGAAATGATGTTCTTTTTAAATGTAGGCTATAATCTATTTACAACACAAGTCGGCGTTGGTCATGTTTTTGATCTTATTTGGCTATGCTTTTGATACAGTTATTATTAAAAGCAAATTTGTAAAAAATAGCTAAGCCATTTTCCATCTAACATGCGTTTTAATTTAACTCCCCCTTTTTTTTCTCCGCAAGGGCGACAGTTCTATCAAAGTAAAATGTGCTACAAGCGTGTGTAGCTTCTACAGAAAAAAATCCAAATGCGAATCATGTTAGGATAATCGTGAGAAGGGAGAATTTTGTCTATTTATGACAGCAACATTGGAGGGATTCCTGTTCCCTCTTGACAAAATGAAAGGGTGGTCATAAAGTTGACGCTCTCTGCCTCCTTGTGACTCTTCGTCTGTTTATGGGACCTCTCTTTTTTTCTCTTTTTCAGCCATATAACCATAAAAACGACCATAAAATCACTCCTTGGTCTCTTCTTTCTCTTCCGCTTCTTTCTCTTCTGCCTCTTCCCCTTCACCGTCCTCGTTGCCCTCTTCTTCGGCCTCGGCTTCAGCCTCTCCTCTCTGACCCGGAAACTTGTCTTTGTTGTTCTCTTTTTTCCA